ATAACTTCGAGATGAGTTTGATTGAATAATTTTTCTTTTTTATTGTGAATTAAAATTTAATTTATTTAATTAGTTGGTTAAATAAATTGATATTAGAATAATATTAAAAGACAAAACGGATTAGACCTCACAGGTCAAAATTAACAATCCGCTTAAAAATAATGAGCCAGGTTAATAATTATAATTTGTAAATTCATTTTGGTTTATTTTATTTAGTTCATCAACTTGACGAGTCAAACGTGGACAAGAAATATTAACTATATTTTTTATATTATTTTATTGAAATATATAAATTTATTATAATTTTATAATTTCAATTAAAAAAATTAATCACTTAAATTTAAATTATTGATTATAATCAGTTATTTTAATATATAAATATAAATTTTTTAAATTTACCTAATAAAAATACTAATTTATAAATAAAAATTTAAAAATTATTTATATAATTAAATATATATTTTTAAAAATACATATAAAAAATTTATATTAAAAAAAATATTGGTTGGTTGACCATCAACTCACCCTTAAATGGAACTCATTAGGCTCTTTAACTTTTATTGACTATGACAGACCAACTTGTTTGGTCTTATTTTTCACAGACTAAAAACTAAGTGGGTTAAAATAGGACTGATCGACTTGTTCTAGGTCAAAATCATAACAGAAAAAATGAGATGTATTAGTGAATTATAATTTAATGTAGGTAGGCATTTTAAACTTAACCAATATTAGTATTAGGTAACATGAAGATAATTTATTCTTAAAATTGCAAACCATTAAAGTGAGTATTTGAAAAGTAATGTACCAAAAATATTTATAATGAAAATTACAAATACTATTTTTATAACAACCCCATATATATATATATATATATATCACCTCAAAAAGTAAATAAAATATAAATTTATATTATTCCTAGCTCTAGACCTACTTATGTTAATGTTTATTACTTGTAAAATCTATTTTTGTGTAAATACGATCATCACAGTTAAAAGCAACATACAAAATAAGTTAGTAATTCAATTTAAGTATGTAAAATTCAAATGTGAAATAAAATAACTTAATTCAATTTCAAGTTTTCATATTCTACATCACACGCTCATACGAACTCATATTCACGTACTAGATGACTTCCGAAAGACTAAATATTAAAATAGACATAAAAGATTTGTACCTGTCATACCACAACCCCCTAGTCCATAACACAAGGTACTCGGTTACACTCATGTATGAGCAAAATAAATTTTTAAATGAATGACTTATCAAGACTTAGTCATTAGAAACATCCTTAAACTCTCATCACCTGATCCTTTTATCTATATAACTTTTAAATGAATGACTTATCAAGACTTAGTCAGAAACATCCTTAAACTCTCATCACCTGATCCTTTTATCTATATAATTTTAGTGATCATAGTAAGTTAGAATATCTCTTCGAGTCCTAAATCAATATCTATACATACAACACTACACACATAAGGATACCCCTTGGTAATTATCATGTCATAACACAACATTTTTCAAGGCAAATAATAACATTCAACACACCCAATTTTATGTTCATAACATGTATTTTAATAATTTAAGGCACATACACATCACTTTTCACATTATAACAAAATATTTTTTTTTTCTAATTCGACCTCTGTCTATTCTTTTAAGCACAACTTTTTATGTAGATATCATTTTTAACTATTTTTTACTTTATTGGATTCTTTATTTTCGAGGCTTCGATTTGCATATATGGAATGTGGAACTATTTTTTATGATTTTTTAAAATTGTTAAACAAATATGAAAATGTTGAGGGAATTCCATATTCGTTGAGTGAAATTTTGACAAAAGAGAACCTCAAACACTGTCCAAAATCTATTAGGTAAAATTTGAAAATGTTGAGTGAATTTTAAGTGATTCCAACACTATCTTAAATTTGTTGGACGTATTCGTGATGAGTAGTAGACTACATAATCTGCTTAAGACATTGTTTCTAATATTCCAAATCAAATTAATTATAAATCTTATCCTCCAAATTGTAAATGAATTCACTAAATTAATTTAAGAATAATACATTCATACAAAAGACTATCTTTTTCAATCTCATGTAAATCAATTATATAATTACATTCAATACAATTATTACAAATCAATACATATGTAATCACGCAACAAAAATCCCTGAAATTCAAACAATAACAACTCAAATTCCTTAAACTCAAACAATGTGACCTAGTCACCTTCAGAGTCTAGATTATCTAGCCTAGAGTACTATAAAAGTTGAAAAATAACCAACTTTCCTTATTTTTGACACAATGTCTCAAAGTTAAAAAACTCTCAAAAAATCCTTATTTTCATAAAGATAGATCCTAATCACAAAAAATTCAAATTAACAAATTGAATATATCATAATGTTTTTAAGCTAGTTAAAATTCATCTTTTCACAAAATAGTCTATATGCAAGATCCCGTGACCCAGGTGCAAACCTAGGCCCAAAATATGTCAAAATGGTATAAAATTAGGAGAGGAGAAACTTATTTAATTCAAAATTATGATTTAGTAAAAATGATCTCTTCTTCTCTACAAGCACAAAGGTGTGCTTGAATCTAGACAAAAAAATAAAGAGAATAAAAAATTTAAAAAGAAAAAAAAATAAAAAATTTGTGATTTTATGATAATAAATTTAAATGTTTAAACTTTTTTATTTATAATTTTTTTAGTTTAAATTTGCTCTTAGTTACTTATATTGATTCTTACCTACTTCTAAATTTCTTCTTATATATACTCCACTAACTTGATTTGCTACAAAGTTTATCATGACAAATTTGATTAAACTTATTTTTACGACTAGTTTGGAGAGTTTAAGATTTACCTGGACTCTTTATTTTTATATTATATTTTGTTTATACATTGTAGCTTAAGAGTGAGACTCACCTTATCCACATTCTTAATTCAATGGTGTTAGGCACACATTTCAATAAATATCGGCCGTCACTTGGCCAAAAATTTAGATTCAAGTAACTTTAAATATTCTCATTTTATCCTTTTATTAGGTAATGGATGTTCATCAAGATATATATATATATATATATATATATATATATATATATATATATATATATATATATATATATATATATATATTTACTTATTTATAAAAGTATAAAAGTGAAAAAGTAAATAGAAAATTAAAAGAATTTTTAATAATACGTATAAAATAATACCAAGTAAAATATATACCAAAAATAAATATATTTTAACTATATCAAGCTCTACATTTTTTTACTATAAATAAGAAGTCAGACAATATACTTGTTCTTTCTCATTTATTATTAATATCTTTAAATCTGTATATAAAATAATCCATAAAATATACCAACAAAAAATTGTTCGTGCGAAAAAATAAATAAAAGAAAATGTAATTAGCATTGTTATAACTTTTTTCATAATCAGAATTCTTAAATTTATAACATTAAATAATTAATTTTTAAAAACTAACAATGGAAAGTAATTAAAAAAAAAAAGAGTGTAAAAAAAAGAGTAGGAGTCAAATGTTAGTTTATATAGATTAAATCTTTCGTTGTTAATTTTTTATGTTATTGTATAAACTATTATAACTTCTAAAATAAAAAACTGAGAAGGAAGATAATTGGATTTTAAAAAGGAAAACATTATAATTAAATGTTAATTTTTTAGTGTCAATTTAAAAAAAAATGTAGTTTCTAATTAAAAAAAATACAAAATATTGTTGATTATGAAAAAATAAAAAAACCTAAAACAAATCACGTACGAGGAGAAAAAAATTAATTTAACCTTATAAGTAAAAAAATATTTTCAATTTTCACTAGTTGTGTTGTCTGATTATTACAAGCAAATACTATAGATTTTTTCTATTCTTAATCTATGAAAGAAAAAAAATGTCAATTCATGTTTCTAATATTCATAAAAGGATAAATCAATTTATTTTTTATTAACTAACGATAATAAATGTAAATTATTAATTTTCAATATGACATTTTCGTTTTTCAAATTAATGAATCAAATTAACCCAACTTTTTTTAACAACTTTATTTGATTACAATTAAAAGAATTGAAATTAAACTATATTAAATACTTTTTGATATATTTGTTCTCAGAAAATTAAATCAATTTACCCTTTAACAGTAACTATTTGAACCAAGATAAATTTATTCCTAAAATGAAAACTATAATGTAAAAATTAAAATTTAATATTTGAAAATCATTTTAACTTAAAATTTGTTCTTTCATTATCTCATGATCAACTTAAACCCGTATGAAATTTAATGTAAATGAGTATGATGTATTGTTTGTATCTTGTGTCTTTTATTAAAAATGTTTAACTTATCAAAATACATATTATTAAAGTACATGCATGATGCATAGGTAGTAAGTACTCAACAAATTACTATCTTTATATTATTACTACAGCTTAATCTTATCATCAATAATCTTCTTACTCATATAAATGTGTTAATTTTGAGTGATACCTCTGATTAATTTTAACTTTGAAATATATTTTTCTCCTATAAGAAGTTAAACTCCATTAGACAATTATTAAAAACATTATCATAATAAAACAACATGAATAAGCACATAAATTTTATAAGTCATGAAACACAGGAGTTGTCATGAATTTGATTAACTTTGGCAACTAAATCCAATACTTTATTTGAGTTTTTTTTTTCTTCTAAAAAATCGTGTTACAATTTTATCAAATAGTAAACAATAGTTTATTCGTATCATTCACTTGGTGTATATGTAACTTAAACATTAAAAAATTATATAAAATTTAAAATATGTTAAATACATTTTTAAAAAATCATATTATTTTCGTCACTTTAATCTAAAAAAATTATTTTACTTTTATGAAAGAAATTATTCAAAATATTGGTATGGAGTTTTTGGTGAAAAGTACCAAGAGTTTGTAGTCAACGCTGATTTTAAGATAACATTTGTCTTCTTGGCACATCGCACTAAGCAGACAATCATGGAGGTGTCCAAGGCACTCAGATTCCGATCACAGAGCCTCTCCTTCTTCCCACGGACACCCATCTCCTCCACAGAGAACCCACACGATCATTTGATACGCATTTCACCTAAGTTCACTTCAAACTCAACGCTGTCGGTGACAACAGCGAAGAAAAAGTCAAGCATCGAAGGTGTGAGCGAAGAGTTGACCACCATAGCCTCTCTGAACCTTGACTTCGCACCCTCGCGGAGACAGGTCCGCGCAGCTTTCACCGAGGTGCAACAGCAGTTGGACCATTTCTTGTTCAAGGTTAGTTGTCACTCTTCAATTTATCATAATCTTTTCAATATGTATATGGCTTTAGTTGCTGCGGTTTCATATTTCAGATTTTTGCCTTGTTAAAGATTCCTCATTCATTTTCATGTTTTAATCTCTTCCCCTGTTTGTCTCGGGTTGGCAAATAGACTGCTCCTGCTGGGATAAGAACTGAGGAAGTAAGCCTTTTCTGCTTTTGGCAAACACTCTCTACGAGGGTATGCTTCTCCTTTTTATATTGGTTTGGTGAAAAATATGATTAATTTAGTTGTTTGTTATTAGTGGTACGAAAGGAATTCCAGGGGATTGGAAATTTTCTGCAAAAGCTGGATGCCTGAATCTGGCGTTCCACTCAAGGCTGCTTTGTGTTTCTGTCATGGATATGGCAGCACTTGCACTTTTTTCTTTGAAGGTTTGTCATATTTACATGCCTTAAACCCGTAGATAAGTTTCTTCTCACTCTAATGTTATTTTTATTTTTTTTCATTTAGCTTCTCATTTTTAAAAGCTTGTAATGTATGATCTCATCGTGAATAATACTATAAGTTGTAGTCTTCAATTGAGGCAAATGATGTATTATGATCCATCTAACTCGTGGGATAAGTGAGTAAAGTAAAGCTTTTGTTGTAGTTCTTGTAAACTTGTAATGTAACTTAGAATTTGTCCTGTTAAATATTAGGAGTTTTGCGTTGATCCCTTTAAATAGACAAAACAAATAAAAGATTAAAAGAGACTGATTGTATTGGGAAGGAAAATATTCAGGAGTTCTAAATTACAAATTATTAAAAATGGGAAACCAAATTGAAAATCATGGTGTGTAGAGTGGTAAAAAATATAATTGACCTAATTTCATTTCAAGAAGTAGCCAAGTGTCCCTTTGTAGTAGTATATTTTGCTATCAATTTTTATCAAAGCTAAAACTTGCGAAATGTAACAGGGGGAGTATTTGAATTTTTATTCAGGTATTGCCAAAAGAATAGCTGCTTCTGGGTATGGTGTTTATGCTATGGACTATCCAGGTTTTGGTCTATCTGAAGGATTACACGGTTATATACCAGATTTTGATGATTTGGTTGATGACGTTATAGAACATTATACCAAAATCAAAGGTAAGACTTTTTGGCATCCATTGATGTCATATTGATCACTGCAGTAAATTTGTAATCTTTCATATGGGAAAATACATCCTTTATATGACAGCTAGGCCTGAGGTGAGAGGGTTGCCTCGATATATATTGGGGCAGTCAATGGGTGGAGCAATTGCTCTTAAGATTCATTTGAAGGAACCAAACACTTGGGATGGAGTAATCCTTGTTGCACCAATGTGTAAAGTAAGCTTATTCCTCTGTATTGCAGTTGATGTTATTGACTTCATTATTATAATTTTCATGTTATTCATTCTATAGTTTGAGAGCGCTGACCTGTTTTATTCTTATCATGCCTTTCACATCTCTAAGGTTAAATTTCGCTTTTTTCTGAAGGCTAGAACTTTACCCTCAAATATATATTGGCAATAAACATTGCCACGCCTTTTGTTCTGTTTTCTGATGTTGGACATGACAAACATCACCCTCCAATGTGTGACGAATACCTCCGAATTCAATTGGCACTGTCAATATTTGAAAGATAAGAAAAATGTAATTTGTATCACAGAATTTTATGATCCAATAATGAGTGTATCTAATTTTAAAGTCTGTTTTCCTTATCATTTATTTTTTTTTGTGATTTTTTTATAATTGTAGAACAATATTTGGTATCTTATACTTTCGATGAATTTAAAGAATTAATGATTGTCTTAAAAGTTTATATTATGAGATTTTTCTCCAAGTCAAAATTGGAAGGATTCCAAGATCAATCTGTAGAAAAATGAAACCATCCATCATTTGAAGACTAGCCTTTCTTTTCTAGGTAATATTAGAATATGTATCAGATAAAGTCTGATTTATTCTTGTTTTGGTGCCAAGATCGCAGAGGGAATGCTACCATCAACTGCAGTTTTGAAGCTATTAAGTATTTTGTCTAAAGTGATGCCAAAGGCAAAACTGTTCCCACACAAAGATCTATCTGCTCTGACTTTCCGAGAACCTGGCAAGAGAAAAGTGGTTGGTAATTTTGTCAACCTTTAATTCTTCCATGCTTACTAATTAATGATCAACCAGTGCCTTTATACCCACCTTTTTGTAACTCGTCTCACATTACCAAATGTTGTGGTCAGGATCCTGATGATTTATAATCTATAACGTCCTGTTTAGTGGAAGCCATTTAACTTGTCCATGTGTCAGTTTTTTCTGCAACATCTGAAGGATCACTGACTCAACCAGATATATATTTCTGTTAAAGAGTGACATGCATCCTTGCCTTAATTCTTATATAGTGGTTTCAAGTGCATGACTGAAACATGAATGGATCCACAATATCTTCTATCATTGAATTGTGAACTTTGAAAAATTTGGGTGCAAAACTAGTCCCTGAAAGTTTGCACTCTATACAAACTAATTGTAGGAGTTGAATCTTTCCTTATAGGCTAGTTACAATGTTATTTGTTATTGTTAGATATTGTTTATATATTATTTGATATTGTTAAGATATTGTTAGATATTGGTAACCACAATATCAAACAATATCTTCTGTTTATTCTGTTACTTTCAGTTACTCTTTTAGTTGTATATCTCTACTATAAATAGACTACCCTATGTGTGATTTATACACAAGGGAAATTAATTCCAAACCATATTTTCTCTATATTCAACGTGGTATCTAGAGCTTAAGGTTCTCTTGAATTTTTTTTTTCCGCCTTTTGTCCACTTGTTGGAGCCGCCCCACCGTCGCTAGAGCCTCCCCACCGCTGCTAAAGCCGCCCCACCGCTGCTGGTAAGCTGATCCTCCACATCGAGAAAGAATTATCTTTGTCATTGAATTTTATTTGGTAGTGTGAAAGTGCATGTTTAGGAAAGTTCCGACAAGGAAAGACTTGGTATTTAAGTGTGTCCATTAGTGACCCACCTCTCTTTCCCGGGAACTTACCTAGTATACTAGTTCACGTTCACTGTCACCGCTGCCGTCGGAGCAGTCTCCGGGTCCGCCGCTGTCGGAGAATTCGCCGGAGTTTCATTTTTTTTTTACCGGTGACATATGATTTTGCTTGTCTCGGTCAGGGTTTGTTCTCCCGCTCTTCATGACTTCTTCCACTATTTCCAATTTTGTTAACGATTCTTTTGTGTTGACATCCCATCGTGATGACCGGGCTCGCCCTCGCAAACAGGAAAAAGGGCGTCCTAAGTGTGAACATTGTGGCAAGCTAGGTCACAAGATTAACAAGTGTTATACATTACATGGTCGTCCTCCTCAGTCTGCTGTAGTTGTTCAGACCAATCTTTCCCCACCTTTATCCGTAGGGGATCTTCCTTCTTCTGTTGCATCCGACATGTCTGCTATGTTCAACAAATTTCTCGAATGGTATAAGGATCAGCAGTCTTCTAGTTCCACTATATCCGTCACACATACAAATACATATTTTCGTTGGTCCGACCCAATCATTTTCTCCTGGTCCTTGGGTTTTTGATTCAGGAGCCACTGATCATATTACTGGTAACAAATCTTTGTTCTCCTCTTTATCCTCTCCTAATCATTTACCTTACATTACACTTGGTGATGGCTCTAGAGTATCATCTCATGGTGTTGGAACGGTTAAACTTTTTCCTTCTTTAACCATTGATAATGTTCTTTATGTCCCTGGGTCTCCTTTTAACCTTGTTGTCCATCGGTCGTCTAACTCGTTCTCTTGATTGTGTTGTTACTTTTACCAACAATTCGGTGTGTTTACGGGACCGGAGTTCGAAACAGGTGATTGGCACGGGATGTGAGTCTCATGGTCTTTATTATCTCCGTCCCTCTACACATGTTAGTACAGTTATGGAGTCTCCCTCTCTTCTTCATGCTCGGTTAGGTCATCCAAGTCTTGCCAAGTTACGGAAACTTGTCCCTGCCTTGTCTAACTTATCTAGTTTGGCGTGTGAGTCATGTCAATTAGGCAAGCATAGTCGTACTTCCTTTCCTCGTAGTTTCACACGTGGTGCTTCGTCCCCTTTTGCAGTGGTTCACTCGACATTTGGGGACCTAGTCGCGTTAAGTCTACTTTAGGTTTTCAATACTTTGTTACTTTCATTGATGATTATTCCGGATGCACTTGGTTATTTTTGATGAAAAATCGTTCCGAATTATTTCATATCTTTCAAACTTTTTTTAATGAAATTCAAACTCGGTTCGGTGTTTCTATTAGAGTTTTGCGTAGTGATAATGGCCGTGAATATCTTTCTCATTCTTTTAAACAATTCATGGCTTCTCACGGTATTTTGCATCAAACTTCTTGTGCTTATACACCTCAACAAAATGGTGTAGGCTGAACGTAAAAATAGACATCTTATTGAAACAACTCGCACACTTTTAATTCATGGAGATGTTCCTCAACATTTTTGGGGTGATGCTCTTCTTACTGCATGTTATCTCATTAATCGCATGCCTTCTTCGGTTTTAGATAATAAAATACCTCATTCCATTTTATTCCCTCATGAACCACTTCATCCTTTACCTCTCGAAAGTTTTCGAGTCTACATGTTTTGTTCATAATTTTAGTTCCAGTGCGGACAAGCTTTCTCCTAGATCACATAAATGTGTTTTCTTAGGGTTTACAAGATCACAAAAAGGATACAAATGTTTTTCTCCTTCTCTTAACCGTTATTTTGTGTCAAAAGATGTCACCTTTGATGAGTTGTCTCTTTATTTTAAAAGTCAAACTTCACCTCTGTCTCCATCCAATCTTGTCAACACTCCTAATACATTTAATGTTCCTGTTATTTGTGACCCTCTAATTGTGTCTTCTTCACCATTAGTTCTCGCTCCATGATTAGCTTCTTCTCCACTGCCTCTTCGATTTATAGTTCTCGAAACCAATCACAACCACCACCATGTGACTCTACTCAAGTGCCAACTACTCTGTCTCCTCCGGATCGACACATGAGTCGACCTTCCCATTGCCCTCCGAAAAGGTATTCGTTCTACACGTAATCCCTCTCCCCATTATATTGCTTTGAGTTATCATCGATTGTCATTACCTTTTTATACATGTCTTTCCTCTATTTCTTCCGTGACCATTCCAAAAGCTGTTCGTGAAGCTTTAGCCCATCCTGGTTGGCGTCAGGCCATGTTAGATGAACTAAGTGCTCTTCATAATAGTGGAACTTGGGAATTGGTCCGTTACAGTCCGGGAAATCTGTTGTTGGTTGCGGGTGGGTGTTTGCTATCAAAGTTGGACACTGATGGTACTATTGATCGCCTCAAAGCTCGTCTTGTGGCCAAAGGTTATACTCAAATTTTTGGGTTGGATTATGGAGATACCTTTTCCCCTGTGGCAAAGATGGCTTACGTTCGTTTATTTATCGCCATGGTCGCTTCTTCAACAATGGCCTCTTTATCAACTGGATGTTAAAAATGCTTTCCTCAATGGTGATTTGCAAGAAGAAATATATATGGAGCAACCTCCTGGGTTTGTTGCTCGGGGGAGTCTTCCGGGATGGTATGTCGTCTTCGCAAATCCCTATATGGCCTAAAACGAGTCTCCTAGGGCTTGGTTTGGAAAGTTTAGCAAGGTTGTTCAACAATTTGGTATGACTCGGTGTGAATCGGATCATTACTGTCTTTTATCGACACTCGAGTGCTTGGATGTGTTTACTTGATAGTATATGTTGATGATATTGTTCTTACAGGTAGTGACAACCATGGCATCTCTCGGTTGAAACAACATCTTTGTCACCATTTTCGGACCAAAGATCTTGGCAAACTTAGATATTTCTTGGGTATTGAGGTATCATAGTCCAATGATGGTATTGTTATATCTCGGAGGAAGTATGCCATAGATATTTTGGAGGAAGCTGGGTTGATGAGTTCAAAGTATGTTGATACACCCATGGATCCCAATACTAAACTTCTACCAAATCGGGGGAGCCTATATCGATCCTGAGCAGGTATAGAAGATTGGTTGGAAAATTGAATTATCTTACGAGTTACTCGTCCCGACATTTCCTTTGCGATCAGTGTGGTAAGTCAATTTCTTAATTCACCATGTGAAGATCATTGGAATGCGAGTCATTCGTATCTTGAAGTATATTAAAGGATCTCCTGGAAAAGGATTGTTATATGCTTCTAATAACCATACAAGAGTTGTTTGCTACTCGAGATGCTTGATTGGGCGGGATCTCCTTCGGATAGAAGATCTACATCTGGATATTGTGTCTCCATTGGTGGTAACTTGATTTCATGGAAAAGTAAGAAACAAAGTGTTGTGGCAAGATCCGGTGCAGAAGCGGAATATAGAGCTATGGCCTCGGCTTCCTGTGAACTTGTTTGGCTCAAGCAATTGCTTAGAGAGTTACAATTTGGAGATGTCACTCAAATGACACTTGTGTGTGACAATCAGTTCGCTCTTCATATTAGTTCTAATCCTGTCTTTCATGAGAGGACCAAACACATTGAGATTGATTGTCATTTTATTCGAGAAAAGATTATGTCTGGAGATATCAAGACTGAGTTTGTTAACTCAAGTGATCAGTTAGCGAGATATTTTTACTAAATCTTTACGGGGTCCTAGAATTGATTATATTTGTAACAAGCTTGGCACATACGATTTGTATGCTCCAGCTTGAGGGGAGTGTTAGATATTGTTTATATATTATTTGATATTGTTAAGATATTGTTAGATATTGGTAACCACAATATCAAACAATATCTTCTGTTTATTCTGTTACTTTCAATTACTCTTTTAGTTGTATATCTCTACTATAAATAGACTACCCTATGTGTGATTTATACACAAGGGAAATTAATTCCAAACCATATTTTCTCTATATTCAACATGGTATCTAGAGCTTAAGGTTCTCTTGAATTTTTTTTTTCCGCCTTTTGTCCACTGTTGGAGCCGCCCCACTGCTGCTAGAGCCTCCCCACCGCTGCTAAAGTCGCCCCACCGCTGCTGGTAAACTGATCCTCCACATCAGAAAAGAATTATCTTTGTCATTGAATTTTATTTGGTAGTGTGAAAGTGCATGTTTAGGAAAGTTCTGACAAGGAAAAACTTGGTATTTAAGTGTGTCCATTAGTGACCCACCTCTCTTTCCTGGGAACTTACCTAGTGTACTAGTTCACGTTACTGTCACCGCTGCCGCTGGAGCAGTCTCCGGGTCCGCCGCTGTCGGAGAATTCGCCGGAGTTTCATTTTTTTTTTACCGGTGACATATGATTTTGCTTGTCTCGGTCAGGGTTTGTTCTCCCGCTCTTCATGACTTCTTCCACTATTTCCAATTTTGTTAACGATTCTTTTGTGTTGACATCCCATCGTGATGACCGGGCTCGCCCTCGCAAACAGGAAAAAGGGCGTCCTAAGTGTGAACATTGTGGCAAGCTAGGTCACAAGATTAACAAGTGTTATACATTACATGGTCGTCCTCCTCGATCTGCTGTAGTTGTTCGAGACCAATCTTTCCCCACCTTTATCCGTAGGGGATGTTCCTTCTTCGTTGCATCCGACATGTCTGCTATGTTCAACAAATTTCTCGAATGGTATAAGGATCAACGAGTCTTCTAGTTCCACTATATCTGTCACACATACAAATACATATTTTCTTTGGTCCGACCCAATCATTTTCTCCTGGTCCTTGGGTTTTTGATTCAGGAACCACTGATCATATTACCGGTAACAAATCTTTGTTCTCCTCTTTATCCTCTCCTAATCATTTACCTTCATGTTACACTTGGCTGATGGCTCTAGAGTATCATCTCATGGTGTTGGAACGGTTAAACTTTTTCCTTCTTTAACCATTGATAATGTTATTTATGTCCCTGGGTCTCCTTTTAACCTGTTGTCCATCGGTCGTCTAACTCGTTCTCTTGATTGTGTTGTTACTTTTACCAACAATTCGGTGTGTTTACGGGACCGGAGTTCGAAATAGGTGATTGGCACGGGATGTGAGTCTCATGGTCTTTATTATCTCAGTCCCTCTACACATGTTAGTACGGTTATGGAGTCTCCTCTCTTCTTCATGCTCAGTTAGGTCATCCAAGTCTTGCCAAGTTACAGAAACTTGTCCCTGCCTTGTCTAACTTATCTAGTTTGGCGTGTGAGTCATGTCAATTAGGCAAGCATAGTCGTACTTCCTTTCCTCGTAGTTTCACACGTGGTGCTTCGTCCCCTTTTGTCGTGGTTCACTCTGACATTTGGGGACCTAGCCGCGTTAAGTTTACTTTAGGTTTTCAATACTTTGTTACTTTCATTGATGATTATTCCGAGATGCACTTGGTTATTTTTGATGAAAAATCGTTACGAATTATTTCATATCTTTCAAACTTTTTTTAATGAAATTCAAACTCGAGTTCGGTGTTTCTATTAGAGTTTTGCGTAGTGATAATGGCAGTGAATATCTTTCTCATTCTTTTAAACAATTCATGGCTTCTCACGGTATTTTGCATCAAACTTCTTGTGCTTATACACCTCAACAAAATGGTGTAGGCTGAACGTAAAAATAGACATCTTATTGAAACAACTCGCACACTTTTAATTCATGGAGATGTTCCTCGACATTTTTGGGGTGATGCTCTTCTTACTGCATGTTATCTCATTAATCGCATGCCTTCTTCGGTTTTAGATAATAAAATACCTCATTCCATTTTATTCCCTCATGAACCACTTCATCCTTTACCTCACGAAAGTTTTCGAGTCTACATGTTTTGTTCATAATTTCAATTACAGTGCGGACAAGCTTTCTCCTAGATCACATAAATGTGTTTTCTTAGGGTTTACAAGATCACAAAAAGGATACAAATGTTTTTCTCCTTCTCTTAACCGTTATTTTGTGTCAAAAGATGTCACCTTTGATGAGTTGTCTCTTTATTTTAAAAGTCAAACTTCACCTCTGTCTCCATCCAATCTTGTCAACACTCCTAATACATTTAATGTTCCTGTTGTTTGTGACCCTCTAATTGTGTCTTCTTCACCATTAGTTTTACGCTCCGCAGATTAGCTTCTTCTCCACTGCCTCTTCGATTTATAGTTCTCGAAACCAATCACAACCACCACCATGTGACTCTACTCAAGTGCCAACTACTCTGTCTCCTCCGGATCGACACATGAGTCGACCTTCCCATTGTCCTCAGAAAAGGTATTCGTTCTACACGTAATCCCTCTCCCCATTATATTGCTTTGAGTTATCATCGATTGTCATTACCTTTTTATACATGTCTTTCCTCTATTTCTTACGTGACCATTCCAAAAGCTGTCCGTGAAGCTTTAGCCCATCCTGGTTGGCGTCAGGCCATGTTAGATGAACTAAGTGCTCTTCATAATAGTGGAACTTGGGAATTGGTCCAGTTACCGTCTGGGAAATCTGTTGTTGGTTGCAGGTGGGTGTTTGCTATCAAAGTTGGACTCGATGGTACTATTGATCGCCTCAAAGCTCGTCTTGTGGCCAAAGGTTATACTCAAATTTTTGGGTTGGATTATGGAGATACCTTTTCCCCTGTGGCAAAGATGGCTTCGTTCGTTTATTTATCGCCATGGCTGCTCTTCAACAATGGCCTCTTTATCAACTGGATGTTAAAAATGCTTTCCTCAATGGTGATTTGCAAGAAGAAATATATATGGAGCAACCTCCTGGGTTTGTTGCTCGGGGGAGTCTTCCGGGATGGTATGTCGTCTTCGCAAATCCCTATATGGCCTAAAACAGTCTCCTAGGGCTTGGTTTGGAAAGTTTAGCAAGGTTGTTCAACAATTTGGTATGACTCGGTGTGAATCGGATCATTCTGTCTTTTATCGACACTCGAGTGCTTGGATGTGTTTACTTGATAGTATATGTTGATGATATTGTTCTTACAGGTAGTGACAACCATGGCATCTCTCAGTTGAAACAACATCTTTGTCACCATTTTCGGACCAAAGATCTTGGCAAACTTAGATATTTCTTGGGTATTGAGGTAGCACAGTCCAATGATGGTATTGTTATATCTCGGAGGAAGTATGCCATAGATATTTTGGAAGAAAGCTGGGTTGATGAGTTCAAAGTATGTTGATACACCCATGGATCCCAATACTAAACTTCTACCAAATCGGGGGAGCCTATATCTGATCCTGAGCGAGTATAGAAGATTGGTTGGAAAATTGAATTATCTTACGGTTACTCGTCCCGACATTTCCTTTGCGATCAGTGTGGTAAGTCAATTTCTTAATTCACCATGTGAAGATCATTGGAATGCGGTCATTCGTATCTTGAAGTATATTAAAGGATCTCCTGGAAAAGGATTGTTATATGCTTCTAATAACCATACAAGAGTTGTTTGCTACTCGAGATGTCGATTGGGCGGGATCTCCTTCGGATAGAAGATCTACATCCGGATATTGTGTCTCCATTGGTGGTAACTTGATTTCATGGAAAAGTAAGAAACAAAGTGTTGTGGCAAGATCCAGTGCAGAAGCAGAATATAGAGCTATGGCCTCAGCTTCCTGTGAACTTGTTTGGCTCAAGCAATTGCTTAGAGAGTTACAATTTGGAGATGTCACTCAAATGACACTTGTGTGTGACAATCAGGTCGCTCTTCATATTAGTTCTAATCCTGTCTTTCATGAGAGGACCAAACACATTGAGATTGATTGTCATTTTATTCGAGAAAAGATTATGTCCGGAGATATCAAGACCGAGTTTGTTAACTCAAGTGATCAGTTAGCAGATATTTTTACTAAATCTTTACGGGGTCCTAGAATTGATTATATTTGTAACAAGCTTGGCACATACGATTTGTATGCTCCAGACTTGAGGGGAGTGTTAGATATTGTTTATATATTATTTGATATTGTTAAGATATTGTTAGATATTGGTAACCACAATATCAAACAATATCTTCTGTTTATTCTGTTACTTTCAGTTACTCTTTTAGTTGTATATCTCTACTATAAATAGACTACCCTATGTGTGATTTATACACAAGGGAAATTAATTCCAAACCATATTTTCTCTATATTCAACAGTTATGATGATCCAACAAGATTGAAAACTGGCATGGAGCTTCTAAGTGCCACTCAAGAAATCGAGTCACAATTACATAAGGTTAGCTTTTGCTTTTGCTCCCTTGTGTAGTTCTGTTACATGTTATTTTGAAGAACCACATGTGGATTTCTGCTGTGGTGATCTGTGCTTTTTACATGCAGTAATAGTCCTATTGAGAGTGATGCAGGTTTCAGCTCCATTATTGATTCTTCATGGAGCAGCAGATAAGGTGACAGATCCATTAGTGAGCCAATTTCTTTATGAGAAAGCTTCTAGCAAGGATAAGACACTAAGGATCTATGAAGGAGGTTACCACGGCATCTTGGAAGGGGAACCTGATGACAGAATTTTTGCTGTCCATAATGACATTATCTCATGGCTTGATTTTAGGTGCTCACTTGAATGAGGTTCATACTTCATATTTTTGTGTTGGTCACACCAAGATATAGTAGTGTGCGAACACCCTTAACAAAAGATTAAATGTACATGTCAATTTTGCTTTCTACCTTATCAGAGGCATTTATGAGTTTAATCTTATAATTCGCTTATTGGCTTTTCAAACCAGGTGTCCATTGTTCCATTTATCTAGACTTGTTAGGCTTGACCACTAGTATTGTTTATAACATAAAATATTATTTATAATACTATTCATAAATCTGGGATTTTATTATAATTTATATTATTCTGTGTAGATAGACCAATAACTTATCCATTTCGCTAGTAATTAATTGCCCAAGAGAAAACAAAACCATTAATAATAATATATTAGAGTATGTTTAGACAGCTTCTTCGTAAGACTTACACCTTACAATAAAAAAATTCAGTTTATTTTAAGATAATGTATAAATTAAAAATGAAAAATTGGAAAAACTATATTAATTATAGTTTATGAAAAAAAAAAGATTTTTTCAATTTTTTTATTCTAGAAATTTTTACAGAAAACTCCTAAAAAGATTCTAATACGAAAGATCCTAGTTTGTACGAAACTATTCTCGTGACATCTGTATTTAGTCATAATTCATTTTATATTATTTTAATTTATTTGATAAAAAAGGAAATCCTTCCTCGTTGTTGTTTGTGTGTTTCGTTCAATTTTTTTCGTACTAAATAGCACTTTGGTAAGAAAATAAATTACTATCTGGAATTAATGATATGGAAGAGTTTATTTTTTTTTATTATTTCAAAAATAATATTATTGAACAAGCTAAAAAAATATAAAAAATATTATATGACGGAGTACAAAATTCATGGTAAATGGATACTACTAAAAAATGGTCCTTGCATATTAACATTTGTGTATTAATAATGGTTCAGTTTCGATAACATTCATAAGTAGTACTCTGTTGGGAGAAATAATTAAATAATAGGTTGAAAGAGAGGAGAATACATATAAGAAACGCAGAGACATTTTTTCTCACCTTGGGTCGCACTCTCGCACGCGCGGTGGCATCTAAGAAAGAAGCACCATGTCACTTCTTAACCAGCTCTTTAACAGAGGCGTTTTTGGCACTCGATGGTGATTTCCTATTGCTTCTAAGATTGAACTTTTCTGATTCTCATAACAATACTCCACTTTTTAGGTTTTGGGTGTTTCTGTGTTTCCGGATTTTAGGTTTCTCAATCCAGTCTCAGTCTTTTTTTTATCATACGCTAGTTCAAATTATAATTGAACTGTTAATTGGTTGAAATTCAATTTCAGTTTAGACTCCTTACCGTTTGTTTACTTTCTTCAAACATGCAAGATATTGAGGTATATCCGATGTGTATAGCCAGATTTTGGGTTGTCGGGAAAAGTGAGCTATTCTGATGAAAGAGCTCGGATCCTTGGTAGATGGATCGTTTCTATGACTGTCCTTGGCGCGATTGTAATTATTCAAAAGGATGCTTTGCACTTTTAATTTTAATAAATGTTCTATAGCTTGTTCTCTGAACTATCTATCTAATGCGAAGTACACTAGTGAACATTCTGCTTTTTGTTTCTTTTTCATCTTGTAGCAAAACATGCCTGAACCTGGCAATTTCACGCATTAAGTTGCTACAGAACAAAAGAGACATGCAACTGAAACAAATGTGCAAGGAGATAAGCCAATTCTTGCAGGCTGGCCAAGAGGCAATCGCTAGAATTCGGGTAATCTTTCAAGGCTTGATTAATAGCTGCTAGTTTCTGGATCTTTTCTCCTTGTGTTCTAACATTCTGTTTGTAAAATGTATTGATTTAAATAGGTGGAGCATATCATACGAGAACAAAATATATGGGCTGCATATGAAATATTGGAGTTGTTCTGTGAATTTGTTCTTGCTCGCGTACCTATAATTGAGAACCAGAGGTAAGTCATCTGGCCATATTAGTACTTATTGGCACATCGCATACTGTCATTGTGTTTTAACTTTATGGTTGACCGGCATGAAGTTCAGTACTCGCGCAAAGCAGATGTTGTTTTTAATGCTATTTTCCACATTTAAGAAATGGATCAATTTTTCAGGCTCTTTCTGCTTCACTAAATTTTTCCATTGACTATACTTTTCTCAATACATGAGAAAACAGAAACAGGGAAATTCTGTATTCACTATTAGCAGTTTTTAGGTGAAGTTAACAGTCCAAAACATGTTAGATGACCTCTCTTGTCAGTTGAAACTTAAGTATTTGTAATTACATCGTTTCTGAATCTTCAGGGGAATTCAAAGGGGGATATATATATATATATATATATATATATATATATATATATATATATATAACATAGTATGATAATCTTACATTTCACTATTTGAATGACATGATTTGACTTTGATATGACTTGGCTATGAATCTCATAAATTATGATACATGGATGAATCAATGCAATTCCATATCACCAATGCAAAAAAAAGGAATAAAGGAGCACTATTAAACACATCCTATTTGATTATTCAGATGTTTTAGTTTCCTTCTTCTAAAACAGGGGCTCCAGATGGTCACTTACTAATTCTATCTGTTCTATTTAGCTGTACCGGTGCTGCTTTAAGTCTTATAAAATAAAGGCTTCAAACACTCAGTTATAACTCATGATTCTGTTGTGTGAAGCTTTTGGTCCTTTTCTAGTTTAAAATTATTACATTGAGCAGTATTCATTATTTAGATGATATATTCTAAGTTATTCTTTGTTATATCACTAAATTTTACAATCTCATAGAGTTTATAAATCAATCAAATGACAACAAAAGCATATTTCACTAGGTGAGGTTGGATATTAGATTACAAAATGTCATTCGGCTCTGTTTAAGAATTTTTTTTAGAATATCGTTTACCGTGAGATCCTCTCAACAGTTTTCTCCAATGTCCTTCTTGTCTCACACATTTGCTTTTCACAGGGCTAAAAACTATGTAGTCTACTTTCCTCACTGGTGTTTTCAGTGACTTTTGTGATTCTACTCTCTTCACTTGTACGATTTATGAATCATGATTAACAAATTATCCTAACAATTTGCAATATAAATTTTGATTCAATGACCTGTTTCTGAATTTAAATGGGGTAAAATGTATGGTTTTAAACTTGGTTCACCAAAATTGTTTTTTACATAACTTTAGGGAGGAATAGTGTTATTTACCTATACTTGTATAACCTTTTTATATTTGTATGTGTTATTTGTGCATATGTGACACTTTAATAAGTGATGTTTGAACTTTGAAATGATACTTTGTTACTTCAAGTTTATTTAAGGTAAACTATTGGCAATTAAATAAATTATTGATGCCTAAAGGCATTTATTGATCTTCCATGCATTGAATATTTTTAGTTCTCTTTCACTTATAGGAGGTATTTATATAAGTCACACTAAATCACTTTTAGTTAAGAGAATATTCATTTTGGTAACTGAATTGAGAGTTCAAACAGTTGCACATTTTCTTATATAATTACAGAAAAATATTTTTTTAGTCAATCTTGAAGCCTTCCTTCTCCACATGATAGGGAGTGCCCTGCGGAGTTGCGAGAAGCCATTGCAAGTATAATTTTTGCTGCACCTAGATGTTCAGATGTACCAGACTTATTGCACATCAAGAACTTGTTTACCACTAAATATGGGAAAGAATTTGTCTCTGCAGCATCTGAACTTCGTCCTGATTCGGGCGTGAACCGCACGGTGATTTATCTATAAGTGCTGCTTCTGAAAAGCAAACTGTTACAGTTTCTAAACAATTGCATACTATCATTAGTCCATCTGTTCTTTTGTCATGATTTCAGATCATCGAAAAGCTTTCAGTTACGGCTCCATCTGGAGAGGTAAAACTCAAGGTCTTGAGGGAGATTGCAGAAGAATACAATATAGCATGGGATTCTTCCAAAACTGAGGCTGAGTTTAGGAAAAATCATGAAGATCTTCTGGTAATTTTTTCAGTGGATGCTCATTTCTTCCTTCATTATTTTACATTAAACATATTATCTACTACTAGATTCATGTGATATCATACATGTCATTGACAGTAGATGGCATCTGTATAACTAATAATTTCTCACTTGTCTAACTATAACATCCTTGACACTGACCCGAGAAATTACTGAAAATTTAATCCTAAGCTCAGGGTATGTGATAGTTCTACCATGAGTATTGAAAAATGCCCCTAGCTGTTGAGGGTATTTGTCTTAAATCTCCTGGCATATCTTCTGTAAATCTCATAGATATTCGACAAAACTTTCAAACATATTAATGTGTCTATTTGTTCCATGTTCCTGAACTTTTTGAATGTAGCTAGTTTAATTGGGAGTTTGTTGATTTCCTTCTCATAGACATGATTCAGGGCTAAAATTGTTTGCAGGGAGGGTCCATTTATCATTATTAGTGGCGGTAATAATTTCAGTTATTATTTAGTCAACTGGTTCTCACTGCTTAGCTCTGTTGTCAAAAAATGTGGGGCTACAGCGCCTTAGAGTTCCTTTGAAATTTTTTGAGTTAAATATACACGTTTATCTTAGAACTTGACATTGAGCAGCTGGTTCTGGACAAGGACAATCTAAATCTTGAATTCACTGACCTACGTTTTTTACTTTATACTTTATACATTGAATTCACTTATACTTTGTTGTGTACTTCTCTTCTGTTGTGTCAGCAATTTGCTCAGTTTTTCTTAATTTTTATAATGATTTTCTTGTGTTACCTGTAGGGAGGAGCTAAGCAAGCTAGTGCTGGAATTGCCCTTTCTCATACACCCAGCAGAAATGGTTCTAATAATTCACCATCTTATACTACGGAACCTTCTATCAAGTCTGAGCATGATAAACAAGAATATAAACAACTTGAATCTCCCAGCCCTTCTAACAATAATTCTTTATTTAATAGTAATGAAATTGAACAGTCACACAAAAATAATGATGTTTTTCCTGCTGGAGATGCTAAAAGTGAGACAGCATTTCAATCTTCTGATGTACTGGAGAAGGCGCGTGCTGCTATTGCTTCTGCAGATCGTGCGTCTGCAGCTGCTCGTGCTGCTGCTGCACTAGTCCAGAGTAATTTTGGATCATTGAAGCTGGAAGGTAAATAAAACTTCACAGTGCGCAAAATGGATGAACTATTACCTCCCAAGATCTTAATAATGGAAAAAAAAAAGTTAGGAACTAAATGCCAAAGGAGAAAATTATGTTCTTTGTTGCGGAGGTGACAGCTTCATACGGTAACTAAGTAATAAGAATTGTGTTGTGGATGCATTGTACATTCGATATTTCATACATGTATATCATTGTAACGAAACGAAATAACGAACACATTCAACTTTTTTAAATCTTTCCTGATTCTTGGGACTGCCGTTTTGAAAGATGTTGTTTCCAAGTAGTTTAAAAAATCAGTTTTCTAACCCAGGAAATTTATGTATATGTATGTGTGTGTGTGCATTTTCAAAATCGTTATTCTTATCATCTCATGCACGTTTTATTGCAGATAAGATATAAACTTTTGTAGTTGTGATATCATCTACGTGTTAGGTGTTGGACTCTGTTTAACCCGTCATGTCCAAGTGCGATGATAGCTTCATGTGTGATTACTTTGACAGGAAAGATTTTTTTATGGACAAACATAATTCATCATCAATTATTATTTGAATATGTTTGGGACAAAATGAGCTGTCCGGCCTGGCTTATGTTCTGCTGCACTTTGTTATTTTTAGGTCCAGCTGGTCTTATGTGGCCCACTTAAAACAATAAAATAATATTTTGAAGTCAAAATATTTAAAACAAAATATATTTGTTTAAAATTGAAGTTTTATGAATGAAATTTATTTTATTTTTTAGTTGTAAAGATTTAATATATAAATTATAATATCTGTTATTTAAAACACATTTGGATTGCTGGCTTAGAGGCTTATGCTAAAATTATCCAATTCTGTTAGACTATAATTGTTTTAGTCTATTAAAGTGTTTGTTATAGGTTTATCGGCTCAGATTCATTTTATTTCTTCTATGTGTTTGTTTAAGTTATAGTCCGAGGATTATAAATTATCTTGACTGTTTATTACTACAGCTTCATAGTTTCTTTCTTTAATTCCATAATTTAAAAAAAAATTTGATTTTATCTTTCATCAAAATATTGTTTACATTTTTGGATTAGTTGTTTTGAATTGGTTATTTTGAAAATACATTTCAAAACTGAAATGTTTTTCTAAAATATTCATTTGAAAATATATTTTAGATCATTCAATTTTTGATTTTTTTAAAAATATATTTTGAATTAAGTGTTTTGAAATTCATTTTTAGGTTAAAAATGTTATGGATTGAATAGTTTGAAGTCTTATATTTAATAGATACAAAACAATAATAATTTCTTATGTTATGGGTAAAAAAAATCTTCAACGAAAATAGAACCAACAAAACGAAACTAAGGAACTATAAAGTTGTAAAGGAGCGGAGGAGAAGAACTTTTATGATTTCGAGCAAAAAATAGTAAAAGAATATTTCAATCATTTTACGTGGGAAGAAATTATGGAATGACGGGTCAATTATAACTTAGCCCATTAATGGAGAAAAGCTAAAAGATTGTTTAACGTAGCCCACTACTAGAGAAAAGTTAAAAGACGGTTTAACATAGCCCAATAATAGATCAAAGTGAAAAGATTGTATGATAAGCCCAAACTGTAAGCTTTATTTTCTAGTCTGAATGAAAATTGGAAAAACAAAAAAAAAATCAAATTAGCAATTCTTGTCTAGTTTAGAAATTGAAATCCTGAAGTTTCTCTGGATAATATTTTAAACAATGCACAATTGAAAATATAATAAGAAGACTACAAAATAATGTAAAACAGTTTAAAATCTTATAAAAGAATATATTTTGTTAATTTCTAAAACAATTATTTTAACAATCATGTTGAATTTAGTTGGTAGTTTATGCTTAGATGATAGCATAAAATTGTTTTAACTAATTTGACCACTAAATTTTAAAAATAATGTATTAAAAAAAAACATCCACAAAAATTTCTTAATAGAAAAGCAACTTCACATTAAATTCATATACGAACTAAAGGAATTCTAGCAAAACTAAAATAATAAATCCAAGCGAAAAGAGAAAAAAAATCTTATTATAATTAATATATTACAAGAAAAAAAAAAAGTAAGAGAGACAGCGACATAGACCGATGCAGTATTTGAAAGGGGAGCATGATTGGTTATAAGGGCACCAAAAGAGGTGGTGGCAGGGCCACACATCAAGTGAGTCAGAAGAACCAAAACATTCTTGTTGGCACTCCCGAACACCATGACCTGCGTTCACTCTCACTCACTCACTCTACTCAATCTAGTGACCACACACACATAGGCAGGCTAAAGAGTGAACCATCAGGCTGTACCCTAAGACCCCTAGGTTTCACATAAGAGCCCTATTGCCCTAGCCCTTTACAAGCTATTACATCTACATCACCCCTTTTCACACTCTCAACACCCTCCCTCCTTTTTTTGTAGCTGGAGATTTTTTAGTTTTTGTATTGTATTGTAATATACACACACTCACTCAGCGCATAATCACACTTCTCAACCCCACCCCTCTCTCATGAAAATCCATTCTACTCTGATTCACAAAAGACACACAGTACCTATGCATGAAACTTCAGCAAACAGTTCTGTGATAGACACATTAACCGTACATTTATTCACTAGTGTGATCAGAAAGAGAGAGAAAGTGCGTATTTGTGTGTGACAAAGATGTAACGTAGGTTTGCAGGAGAAATAATAAGGACATAAGTGAACAAGACCGGAGTAGTAAAGAAAATTTGGTGAAGTGGGTGGGGATGCTATGTGATCACTGACCTTCTGTAGCTACCAAGAACAAATGCTGAAGGGGCCTCCCAACCCCAACACAACACTTTTTTATAACCATTCTATCAATATTCTTATCTTTTCATTCATTTATGTTGCATCCGTGGTCCCTTTCTACTTTTCATATATATTATACCTAATCTCCTTTATTTTATTACATCAGACATTCCACTCTTCTTATCTACACTACACTTCAGCTAATCCACCATATATCTCCACAATACAGACGGTAGGGTTTACCATATTGCAAATACAACTTAAAATGTAATTAATCTAACTGTAAATAACACTGTTTACCAAGAAAAATGTTCTTAATCAGATTAATTAATTTAAATAATGTTTTAAGTATTAATACATGTAGCATTGTAAGATTAACAAAATTAAATTAAATAACTCATTTAAGTTACTATGCACAGTTGTTCCAGATCGAGTTTAACTGACAATTTATACACTCATTCTAATGATCTTGTAAAAAAGGTGTATTTTTGTTATATGTTTTTATAAGAATAAATGCGTGAGTTTAGACAGGGATGATATTTTTTTTTTCTTTTTATATGGCTTATATGTAAGTTGAAAGTAGCGTTCATATGAGTTATTGTAGAAAAATGTGAATTCATGTGAGTCTGATTTTAAGAAACAAGACAATCTCAGGTTTAGAAAACTAATGCGAGTATTTAAAATTTTTATCTTGGTATGAGAGGTGGGGAAGATTGATGTTTGTGAGGGTTTAAGGATTCCTAAATTGGTGTTGCTTTAAAAAATTTTGCAGGTTGAGAAGGTAGAGAGAGTAATCATTTGTAAATTTAAAAATATATTCGTAAACTTGAATTGATGATCTATGTGAATTTTGATGGTTTCATTAATGTAAACAGTAAAGTAATTTGTGAGTAGTAAGTTATATGGAGATGCATTGATTTCTTATTTAGATGAAAATTTGAAGTTTTACATTTTTGCTTGTTACATTTCTTGGATCAGCGGATTTCCAAGAGTAATTGAACGTAGAAAAAACTCATTAAGATGTAAATCTTATAAATATTAATATATTCTGTTTGTATGAAAATATATATATATATATATATATATATATATATATATATATATAAATATCAGTTTGGTAAGTCCAACTTAATGACACTTTTTATTTTGGTTATTGGTTCGTAAATCTTAAATTTGTAATAGCAATGAGATTGTTACAATATTTAAAGTTATGTAGTACTATAAAATCTATAAAATTAAAATTAACACTCATCAAAGCATCTATGTCTAGATATAGTGTACAGAGTTATGAATTATTAATGTATGAAATAACTCATTTTAATGATTTTTTCTTGACAAAACTAATAAAAATAAATCTTAAGAATTAATATTATAAAAAACCTTAATTTATAGTGTAGAAAAATGATTTAAAATATTTAAATCATTTTAAATTCTGATTATAAAATATATTGAACACTTATGTTAGGTGCTTTGACACTCTAGCTAAACTCTTTATTTTAATTTTTTTCATTTAAGGTGAATAAACTAGAATAAAATTATATCAGTTTAATCAATATTTTAAGTACATGAAATTTAAATATATAATGACATGAAATATTTGTAGAGAACCATGGTAGTAGGTAATAATGGATATGTTCCATTGTGTGCATAGCAACTTGAATCTAATACTATATTTATTGTGCATCATAGAAATCCAGTGAAATTTTGATAACAGAAAAAGTATTGATGTTATTACAGTTAAAAGATAAGATGGGATGAAAAGAAGAAGGGGAGTTAAAAAGTGTTAGGACCCCTCAATAGTCAATTTCTAAATCAGGGCCTGCATGCATGGTAGCCATGGGCATGAGGATGAGGACGAAGGAGAGAATTCAACTAAACCGCGTGATGTTTACACTTCACCGAAAGAAAGAAGGCACATTGATTTTGCTGAATTGAAGGGTCCTTTTCGTCTTGAACTTCGTTTAAACGCCCACATGTTTCCATTGGTCGGTTTAGATCTGCCCCTCTTGTCCCATTCTTTTTTCTTATGCGTTTCCTTGCATGCAATTGCTATTCCACCTCTTGTTTTCTCTTTCAGACCATGCTTTCTTCTCCCTTTATTATATTCAAATAACCTTTCATTACACTATCATCATCTTTAATAAACCAAACATTTTCAACAACCATGCATGCTGTCATTCTGCTATGTGAATAATCAATGGTTTCGATCTTTCCAACTTGTCCATAATGTTAAACTCACAAATATGCCAACAGGAAAATTCACTGTTTCTGTCTGCTGCAAACTAGGTGACATAGTTAAATAAAACCTGTATTAGGTTAGAAGAAGCCTTTCTCTATTATCAATGATAAAATTGTATCTTAAAGTATTTTATACAACTCATACCAGTTGATTCATAAAACCTGTTACTGTCATATAGTTCTGAAGTGAAACGAAAACTTGGTCAAAAATTTACTGCAGGTTTGAAAGCAATTTTTTCAGAAAATATTGTCATTTGGAATTATGCAGTAACATATTGTTTTGCAGACATGTTATTGTTTTCATGAATAAAATGTTTTTACAAAATCAACACGCTCGCACACATCATGCTTAATAGGAAAATGACGTGCAAGTAACCTTGAGCAATCAGACCTAAACAAGTTAATAATGTAACCGTACGATGACCGTACAATTATGGTCGTGGATCACAAATCATACATCTATTCTACTCAAGTAATTTAAGGGGACTTCAAGTTAATGTAAATAAATGCATTATTAAATATATCTTTATTTTTATTTTATTTTATGAATTTATTGTATATGATATAATTATTTATATAATAAGTCAAATTCTTTGAAATATTATTAAGTTTCAGACGTCTTGAATTTATGGTGAAAATCACACTAAAATTACGTAATAACAAAAACTTATCTTATGAATAAGTCAGATTTATTTTTTGTTTGATAAAGAAAATAAGAAAAATAAAGCGAGATGGTTTTTAAATTGTTTGGTAGAGAACGAAAAAACAAAAGAGAAAGAGAAATATTTTTTATATTTATTTAGTTGTATATAAAAAGTGAATGATAAAAGAAAAACACGTGTATAAAATTAAATAATGATACTCAAATTAAGAGTGAGCGTAAGTATTAGTGTCATTTTTATTTAAGAAGGTTTCAATTTTTCTTTTTTCTTTTTTTTTGTTGGATTTAAAAAAATAACACTTATCTTTGTGAAGCTAGCATAAAGTGTTGTTTTCTTTGGTACTTTTAGAATCGCTATGGCAAGAATCCAAAATGAGATGTTTTCTTGTATTCCTTCCTTTTTTGCTACAAACAATCACTTAAACTATTTTTTTGTTACCGTTGAACCAATGGATCAACTAACAAAAGGTTATTTTAGCATATTAAGTAATTTCAAGTTCAAATTTTTGGATATGTATAATTGCATTAATATTTAGATTTTTTTTATTTCTATATATTTAAATTTTTGAATAAATCTGACAAAAACTAACAAAAAATATTTATTTAATTTTTTATCCAAACTAATAATAATTAATGTAAAACCTGCATTGAAGAGAGAGAAACATATTTAAAAAAAAATGAAACTAATCTACCAATGAGAACTGACAGATATACAGTGGGGCAGCATAAACTTTTGTCTCTATCCACTATTCTATTTGCAACATGCATATGCGTACCTTTTGGTTTTGCACAACAAATACTTGTTCCTTATTAACTTTCAATTAAATTCTGTTTTATTCTTCTACAATTTATTTTAGGCATGTTTTTGTTTTGTTGGAATAAACCAAATTGTCATCTGTTTGGAATTATCATTTTAGAATAGATTTTTTGAATTTATATTCAACCCGTGTTTGATTTGATTTTATTATTATTATTATTATTATTATTATTATTATTATTATTATTATTATTATGAGATTCAATTTTAAATTTATGATATGTGAACTATTCAAATTTCGGATACTAACTCAACCATAGTAACTTCAAATTAATCTTATAAATAATAATACTGGTAAGGATATAAGAACTTTACTAGTGATTAAGTTTCATAGGAACCGATATAAAAACTTTATTAGTGATTAAGTTTCATAGGAAAATTTCAATGATCACTTTTAGTAAAAAATTTCTGTCTAATCACATTTTTATTCATTCACAATATTCTAATATCCTAACATATGATTTTATTTAATACCACTGGTATTAATCACATATTGTTTGTAATATGGAAAAGGTAAAGGAGAAATCGCTTTCTATGTTTTTATTTTTTTTAACATTTTGAGCTCTCCATTTTGGCTCGCCCTAATCAAATGAGTTTAATCAGACATGGTGATTTCCAAATTAACCTTTCACGTATCAACGTTAACAAAAAATCGTGATAAAGCATCCACCAATTTCTCAAAATCGTCATACAAATCCATAACAATAAAAACATATATATGTCATATCAGTTTCTTAAAAGTACTCAACAGTTGATTACATAGACTTGTATAATTAACCTATTTGAAGAGGCGTGATTAATAGAACAATAGAGATCAGTTCACTACAGCATAGAAACGCGTACCCTAATTTGTTGACATGAGTTAAACCCTACTTACTGAAAGAAAGAAAATAGCTACATAGTTGGACGCAGTATATTAATTCCAACAACCACAAGTACTCTGAATAATATAAATAAGATGTGTGTGCATATTTAATTTGCACGGCAGAAGATAGATAAAACAATGATGCTAGGTTTCAGTGGGGCAACGTGAGTGGAATAAGACTGAACAGTTGGAAAACGTAGTCATAGTCATAGTAATAGTGATAGTCATAGTGTGGTAAAATGTAGTACAATGTTTGGACCAGATGATATGATATAAGAGAGAGAAGCAAGGTTCAGAGTGCTGATGATGAGATGAAGCATGCAATGCAACGCAATGGAAAGGGCAAGGAGAGGCCCCAGGGTATAGAGGTTGAATCATTTATGAGTTACTCGCATTGCATGCATGCCTCTGTGTCTGCATGTTTTTATCTTCTTGGCCTTCCGACAACTGAAGACAGTGTTGTGATGAGTGAGTGTGTTCATGCAGTGAAACTCCGTGATATAAGCAAGGGAAAAAGGATCATGCGTAGGGGCTTCATGGTTCTCCTTTTTCTGTTTTGGGAAAGTTGGTTCCATATCAATATGGTCCACCATTGCAATTTTGAGAGGTACGTACACATATACGTGCTGTGATGTGCTGCATCTGCATGCATCGACCATTGGAACTCTGCTACTATTATTGCCTGCATGCACATCAATGCAATGGAAAGTGTCTTCTCTTCTCAGACAGACACACTGTGTGCTGTGCCATCTATCTTTGCATGCCCGGCCCAACTTCCACTCCTACAACATTTGCCAAGTGTCTCATCTTCTTTCAATCTTCAATCACAAACACACAACACAAACTTCTTCTTTCACTTCCTTAATTCGCCACATAATTAAATATTCTTCGCCTCAAATTTAATAACACAGTCTCCTCAAAACGAAAACAAAAATGCATGCAGACTGCATCATTATTTCACTACCACACGACTTCATCTTCATTTCGCAGTAATTAAATCCAATGTGGGAATCAACCCATGAATAAAGAAAACACTGATCTGTGTATTAGCCTGATTAACATTAAGCTATCCAACCGACAACTTTTTTTCCATTTTTAGGAAGAACCGACAACTTTTTTTGGAAGAAGAACCGACAACTTAATAATACAGGTTGTTGCAGTTTTACAATTGTTTAAGAAAAATGAGAAACGGTGCTGTTCAAGCGACAAAACTTTGATACAGTATCATATGCATCCTTAACAATATTTAAAGTTTATCTAGGTAATTTATATCATAACTAATACGTGATCGTGTAAAGTAGTTTTTTTATCAACAATTATTAGTATAATTTTGCGTCCCATTCGTTTTCTATATATAAGAATTTATTTATTAATTATGATGATTTTTTTTATGGATTAACAATCGAGTTCAATTATGATCTTTTTCAACACATTTTTTTTTATATGGAAAAAAACACAAAATAATTTTATTCAAATTTATCTTACGAGACATAACATTTCCACCGGAGTACAAAACACAGATGTTTTACTCAATCACAGTTCCCGTCACCCTACAAAATAGTGATAGTTAGTAAAGACTTGGTGTGGATAAGTCTCGATTGATGTAAATTTTGTCTCGTAAAAATATTACAATTTTCACAATTTAAATTATGTCCATTGATAAATGGCATTTTTTGTAATGAAATAATATAAACATTTAAATTCTGATTAAATAATTTTGAGTAGAAGATGAAGGGAAAATAGTGTCCAAGTATAGTTTTACAACGATGGAGAGTGAGTATTACATATTGGTTATAAAATATGTGTAATCAAGTGTACCTTGGTTAAAAAAATTTGTTAGCCATTTTTATAACAATTATAAATTATACTTTTTGGTCACGATGAAGCATAATTGAAAGACATACCCCAGTAATATATGTCCTTTCGGTCCTTGGCTTAGACAGAGATATTAGAATGAGAGAGAGTGAGGGAAAGAGAATGATTTACCCTTTTTTTAATTAATTATCAGAAGCATTGGATCGGACGCAATATTGTAAGATGTTACACGTTGTGCTGTAGTATTCTTTCAGTAGTTCATACCATGCCCTCTGATATTTGTGTTTGCTGTGGAGGCTGATGAAATTTCACACGATATGAAAGGAACGTCTCGTAAGGTTTTATAACAATATATATATTGTGGCACTTTGATCGATATCATTTCTGATATAGAAATTAAAAATAATTAAGAATATATATATATATATATATATATATATATATATATATATATATATATATATATATATATATATATATATATATATATGCGCGCGCGCGTGTACAGTTTTATGCATTATACCCATCAAGTATCGACTGGTTAAGACAAATAATAAAACTGGCTCAACATTCAAACACTTCTGGACATGAACTCCTAAAATTTTATTATTTTTACCCATCTAATTGTTATCATGGCAACAAAATATTAAAAATAAAATTTTCAAAGAAGAACAAGAAAAATAAAAAATAGTAAAATCACAGCAGAAAATTAGATAGTAAGCATACACCATTAAAAGGATTTGGTTTTTAATTTTAATACTGAGAACTCTCACCTACCTAAAATTCATTCAATAAAGAATGTAAAAATTCCATAGATATATATTTATATCTTGTCAGTATAAATTTTTAATTTATCAGTTATTCAAATTAAAATTTAATTGTAAAAATTAACAAAATTATTAAGTGATTAAATGTTACTGATATCAAATTAATCAATCTAATGGGAGAAGATATTAGTTCTAATAATATTATGTAAAAGATCCTAAGTTCTAATCTAGTTACTGTCGCATGTAAGAAAAATACAAACAATCAAAATCATGGAGGCTGTGGGAATTTCAGAATACGTTCAATTAGATAAAATAGAAACCAAGTTAATAATCTAAATTCATTCCATTCAAACCAAACCACCTGGAGAAAGTAGTATCACAAACAAACTACACCATCCATCTCTTTCCTAAACGTTTGTGTGAACTATAGTCTTTGCTCACCAAAGACCACACACCATAGCTAGCAAGTAGAAACCTTCTCTTAGTAGTCACCTGTGTCATCGATGCATGACTGAATCTCATATTAATCAAATGAAGGTTTTATACTAAAACGGATGTAGTATTTTTTTTGCAGATTAGGTGAAATTAATTGTAAAAGCTAAAAAAAAAATGGAGATCAAGCAAATTGCAGAAACCACCCCTAACCCTATCATCAGTGTCGGTTTCATTTCCTGGTGCACTCATCTTTAACTAAAAGCTGAAGGAACGCGAATTGAGTTTTATGTAATGAACTTTTCTGTATTTTCAGTAACATCTTCCTTCTAGTTTCGTATTTACCACTCCAATAATGAACTAAGTTTTTCCTTGCCTATTATGATATATATTCAATTTGGCATTTTGTAGACAAGCAACAATACTTTATGTAGGTTGCCAAGTGTTGTTCCAAGCAGCTATGAATTGAAGATTTCCCTCGTAACAGATGCCTCATTTCATTTGTCCCTTTGAGATAAAGAAAAAATTGTAATTTTCTGAATAAAAGAATATTACTAGTTTAACCTCTTTTTATAGCCCAAACTACAATCTCATCCCAAAACAAAACAAAAATGACAAGTCTGTGTGAGAGACTTCTCAATTCTGTGTTTCCTAAGCGCTCTGCTTTAAACAGAATTTGTTGAAATTGAAAACCTAAAATCCCCTATAATAAGGTAAACTTTGAGTGATTTAATGCAAACAACTTGAAAGCATATAACCAAGAATCAATATTTTTGAAATCAGACTGGCTGGAACCAAGTGAGTTCAAGTTTCATCTCGGCTAGAGTCAATACCCTAGAAATTAAAAAAAATAAAAATGCTCTGGGAGATTAAATAAAAGTTCTCGTTTCTTTCTCAGGAGGAGAGACAAGGTGAGTTAGTGCAACATTAACGAAGGAGATAATTAAGACACAGCGAGAGAAAGTATGGTGTTAGTGACAGAAAAAATTACTGCCAAAGCTGCTATAAAAGGGATATGGATCTGCATTATTATTATTATTTTGGGGTGGGGCTGCTGGTGGGTGGGGGTTACAAAACAAGCATCTCCATGATTTTTAATTATCCTCAACTTCTTGAACATTAATTGGAAACAGCTAAAAAGAGTGCAGTTTTCCCTTCTTGATAAAGATGGAGAAAGATCATTGAAGTAGTCGAAGAAGATGAAGAACTGGGATACGAATTAATTCACACTAAAGCTATTCAGTATCTTTAAACATTCTCTCATTTATGTAATGTACGGTCAGTCGGTGAATCTGAGTCAACCGAGTCTATGTTCATCAACTTTTCTCGCGGCTTTTCTTTTCTCATTATTTTTCTTTTAATATAGTTAACGACTATTTTCTATACAATGTTTTTCAGAAATTAATAAATTTTAAAAAATATATTAAAAATAAAAAACTGTGGAAAAATATACCACCAGTTACACTTATTTATAATTTTTTATTATTTACTTTAATATCAAAATACATTTGTTAAAACTCTCCTCTCGTTTTCTTTTCTGCAGGTAAGATATATGGGCCTGCAATACTGTCTTTCTCATGCCGTTTCAGTATTTAGCAGCATAACATGCAACTTTTTTAGTGTAGTTCTGGCCCTATATATCACCAAGATCCACAGCACATTAATGCTCTTCTCTCTCTCTCTCTCTCTCTCTCTCTCTGATCCCGAGAGGCATTAAAGTTTGAAGAGTACATTATACTGACTAGGATCATTACAGGGGGAGAAATAAATAAAAGGTCATTGAGAGATGAAAAGGAAAATGAAGATGTATAAAGTGAGTTGATATAACAATATTTGTAACGGAGGAATGTATATACCTGTATATACTATGTTAGCTTTCTGCTAAAGCTACATATAAAATATAGAGAATGTGTGTGATAACTATGAAGAAACGATGTTTGGATTCTCTGTTGAAAAGGGAATATGGTATAACGAAGGTAGTTTTACTGGGGATCAGTGTTTCAGCATCAAAGAAAAAAATTGATCTCTCGTACCGTCTTTTATCAGTGTGTGAATATCTTTTGTCAAAGACTAGAGATTATGAGTATGGCAATTTGATAATGTCTTTTATCAGTGTACTGTTTGTTTGTGCAAAAACAAAAGTACTCAGATGAAAAAGTAGGGGGACCCGGAGAGACTCAGTGACTTGTGAGCCAAAGCCTGTATTTATAGTGTACGATTTGCCATTTTTCCTTTTCCGTTCTTGTTTGTGTTTTTGTGGGTTTTCTAAAGAGTTTTTAAAATTAAATTATTACACCTGTATCATCCTTCTTCTTTTTTTCTTTCATCTATGCTGTATTATTCTTCAAGCGTGTGAGAGGAAATAAGGTTTGGATATAACAACAATTCATATATATGGCTTCAATTATTGACCTCAATTATTATAGACATAACACGACTCATTTTGAATTTAACAGGATAATTTTAAATACATCTAACAGTGAGAATGATGGTTGGTGAGTTGGTCATAGTGGTTTTGATAATACTTATGAAAAAACGATACTAGCAATAAAGATGACAAAAATTCTTAGAAATGGAAAATTGGCAAATCTGATGATGTTTGTTAATAATTAAAAAAACTGCTTTGGTGTTATGATTCTAATTTAAAAAGAACCAATCCTAATTCAAGCTCAATTACAAGCGCCAACCAAATTCTACTCATTCTTTACTGTATAGAAAAATACATGCTAGGATGCAAGTGTAAGAAAGAAGCTTTCCATATTAATTCGACACCAAACTTTAATACAACGTACCAAAGTTTTGGAAGCATGAGACAAAAATGGTTATGTTAAATAATGTATGAATGATAAAGATCTATAAAATTAATTACTTAAAGCTTTGATTTAAATACAATTTAATTTTACTTTTGCAGTTGACTCTTAAGTCAATATGGTAGGAAGGGAAAGAAATTTAGAGAAATCTAATAGATAGAAAAAATAATAAAAATAAGTGAAAATAATAATATTTAGTTTAAGAGAATAATTGAATATATAAGAAAAAATTTAATGAAACTAAAATTAAGGTCCCACAACTTTAAATTTATTTCTTCCCTTATTTTTGTACAACCAAATATAGTAACTTTTTATTTATTTATTTCTAATTTTACTTTTTTACTCTTTTCAAAAAACAGAGGTTAAAATTTTTCTAATTGATTATTTCCATTTGTATGATTATCTGGTGATCTAGATTTATAGAAATCTTCGAACTAATTTTTATCTCTCATATTCCCTGACAACAAAACTTATTATAATTTTGAAAAGTGGAGTTGGATAATTGAGAGGGAAAAAGATATAGCCCACAATTTACTTTAAGTTTGTCTGCACAAGTTTCCGAATCATCAAACAGGTTCAATATTTTTCTTTTAATGTTAAAAATAAAAATTATTCAATAGTTTGAATTTGATATAAAAAATGGATCCGTGTTTGATTTGATCCCAGATCAAATCAAACACGCACTTAGACAACTGTTCTCTTTTGGTGATCATGTGTTGTTTTCATGAACTTTTATCCAATATCAAGATGGAAATATCTAGATATATATAATTTCACTTTAAAAATACTTTTAACCAAGATCAGTTTTATTAAAACAAAAACATTTTGTGTACGCACGGTTCAAATCAGTTAGCCAAGAAACCATTTTGAACATGACGTTGCCAGCTTAATTGTCAACTTGCATTATTTTTTATTTTTTTAACATCATGCGAGTCCATATGTCCCCTTTTTCTATATAAAGAAAGTCTTCAAGATAGAAATAATGTAGTTGATGAATCACCAAAGGTGTCCTTCATAGTGTAAAAAATTAAACAGTGGTGTTGATTTTGGTTTTCAAAGTGTACTGTGATACTAATCACTTGTGTATAGTTTTTGTTTTGTTTGTTATGAAAAAATCTGCACAGAAATTGTGCTGTAGTAGACTACGAGACTAACACTACTCTTTCTTCTCTTTATAATTAAAGGTTGACCCCACGAAGGGAAGTACTATGTTATGTGTCTATAAAAACATTTGAGATTGAGATGTCAATCACTGCTCTTAGATACTGTTGATGTTTCTCTTGTGCTTAAAAGTGAATGTAAAATATATGGGGAATGGGCCCAAGCTGTAGCTCCATTAATTAACAAAGTAACACATATCTGAGTTGAATGCCAAGTGGTGGCGCGACATCTTGCATGGATCGATACTCTCGCTTCAACCAACCTACCTTATCAATGAATCTCATCACAACATCGATCACATGTATGCCATGCTAACTTATTAGCCACCTAGGTCTTCTTCCTATACCTCCTTCCTCTCATCTCGTTGGCTACATTTTCTTACCATCACCAACACCAATACCAGTCTCAATTAATTTGTCTCTATCTTTTTGTCTTTTGCTCCTAAGTACCTACCTAATTAACACCTAATACCTGATACCTACTAACATGTAATCCACCACAACCTTCAGGTTTTTGCACTTACAAGCAAACCTGGAACCCTAATATCTGTCCCCACATTCATGCATGCCCATGGATTGCCCAAAAATGGATTTGGTCTATAATTCAAGCCTATGCATCTTAGGCCGCCTGAAATGTCTCAGTAATCTTTGGGTTCTATCTAATCACTTCATCAGCTACCTAGATAGAGCCACCTCAGTATAGTGTAGGCATATAAGGTTATTAGCTAAAGCTAGCTATAACTAGCTATTATGCTACTCCTACTTCTAATTTCAATTAATTAATTAATGTCTCTCAACCTCCACAAACAAAACTAGTAAACACCTTTCTAATTATTTGTGATGTTGGAAACCCAGAAACCTCGATCATCTGGTCAAGTAACTGAGTGTGATAATTACTTTTGGATCCGGCAGAAGTAACTAGTCTGACCGACTAAAGTACAAAAGCGATTACACTTTTCCTTTATTTTTATTCAGCTCCAATTAACTTGATATAGACAAAAATTCATAAATAATCACAATTTTGTTTATATTCTTTAAAAGACACAACCATGTTTTCATGTCTTTTACCGGATCTAGAAATTAATCGTATAACCAAACAAATAACAAAAATAAAAATGTTATATGTAATACACTGTGGTATGTTTCAGTAACACTATTAGTCGATAATATTCTACAAAATCACAGTCACATACATGAAAACAAATACTTCTTATTTTATTAAAATTGATTCTTTTTGTTATAAAAATACTCCAAACACATTATAAATAAAAACTAATTTCTTGGTGAACGTAGCCCCCACCCCCACAAGCAGATGGTCCTACATTTATATTTGGGTACACATGCCCCAATTCAATTTTTATTTTTTTTACATATTATTATAATTTGTTTTTTTGTTAACTTTATTCGCACAACCTTTTTCTTAAGGATCCTATAAGATATCATGACTCCAAATAAAGTAAGGTATTCATGGCTTTCAAAATCTCAAAAATATTTGATACATAGTACCCCTTTTCCCCCACCACGCTTGATCATCTTCTCTTTTGTAACTTCTGAAAATGAGTTAAATTATTTGTGATTCATTTTAACCTGACTCGTTAAAATACATTTTTACTCATAAATGTTGAATTAAACTCATTTTAAACTTCATTAAATTTAATGAAGTTTATATGAATTTCCGTTCATAACATTTTCAGTAATTGTTATTAAAACCATTCACTAAGATTACCTTCTTCGTCTATAATTTGTGATGTCCCACTTGCCATCATTTCATGCCACTAAATTCCTGCTGCATCAACCAATGTTGTTATTGCCATTGGATCTTCCATCAACACTATCAGCACTATCTAATTATCACATTTCCTTTTCATGCACACCATTTTCACCATCCCCGTAAAAAAAAATACTTATTAAAGATTTAACTTAGTTCTTGTTAATATAATTTTTTTCCAATAACATTATGTTTTTAGTGTAAATATTATGAGTTTACACTAACAGAATATTATTTCACTAAACAAATTATATTGTTATAAAATTAATACAAGTTTTTCTAAAAGAAATAGTATAACCTTATAGTATTCTCTAATTATATTGGTGAACACGAATTTAATATTCCTCATTAGTATATAATTCTATTCTTTAATTTTCTTTGAGCCAAATATAAGATATTAATAGATATTAATTCCCCTCGTCACAGTCAAGAATTTTGGATAAAAACGTGTGAAAGGTTCTCAAATTTCAATTTTAGTATATTGAAAAAGTATTATTTTATACTAGTTTCACAAAGTACTAATCGATTGTATAGAAAGGAATTGATGCATCTTGATTGAAAACACAAATAAATTATTAGTTTTGTAAAAAAAAATAAAAAATCAAAAGGACTAGTAGAAGCCAGAAAAAAATACTTTTTTTTAGGATAATTTTCTTATAATTATGTGCTATGCTTAAAGGAAACAAGCTAAAAAAAAGAAGAAAAGAAAAAGAAAATGGTTTAAAAAGAAGAAAAAGAAAAGAAAAATGATGCTAATGTGATTTTATTTTTTTGCACGTGTTTTACTGTTTGAGTAAGGATGATGAGATAGTTAAAGTGGTATATATATTTCTCTAAGCTGCTGCGTTTGGTAGAAGCTCTTGGAGCTGACAGCAAGGGTGTTTTTATTCCTTAGGTAGTAGTTTTGTTCGGTATGTACCATACAAATTAAATATAGCTGCATTCACTGTCTGCTGCAATAAATAATCTGCATTTTAAACTTTTACAATAATTATTTACAATATACTATATTCTGGAAATTGGGAGGGGGATAACTTTTCTTTAATAAGAAATTGTATATTTGGCAGGTTTGATCGTTTGCATATCCTATTCAGGAAGCATTCAGCAAGATGGTTATTCGCAAGAGGAGTCCAAAACTTCTCTGCCTTATTACCCTAATTGTGCAAGCATGGTGTGACACTGAGACCATAAACATTTCAAGAAACTAGAAGATCCCAATTTTGGTTTGGATAGAAAGAGTGAGAGAGTGACGGGCTTTAGGGAGTTTTGGAATCGTAAATAAACTGCCATAAAACTAAACACAGAACAGATACGCAAACGTAAATAAATATATATATATATATATATATATATATATATATATATATGTATCCAAATATAAATAAAACAGTAATAATAGATAGATTGATAAATATTACTACTATATGATATAATATAAAATAGTGAAAGCAACAAATTAGAAGGAAAGTAGTTGTAATTTGCCATGCAAAAGGGAAGTGAACGAGTCACAAATGCAAAAGGGAGTTTGGAAACTTTCAGTTCATATCTAACTGGTTGTCCCAGCTAGCTAGCTACCAATACAAAAGACCATGTTGAGAACAAATCCCACCCACTAACCCCCACAACTCCAAGCCAAAGTAGCTGAGGGTATCCATGAGCTCAAAAGCTGTCCCTGGTTACTGTAGATAAACCAAAACCACCTCTCTCTTTCTCTCTCTTCTTCCTAGCTTAGCTACCTCCATGACCCCATGTGTCAGCTTGTAATGTCTCTCTCTCTGGATTGCGTGTCTTTATGATACCAGATTACACAAACCAAAAACACCACTACTCACAGAAAGAATCTCATTAGAAACCATCTTGAAACCGATTGATCGCTGAGGGAGGATCCAAACGATGCTGTGCTCCTGCTGAATAGCCCCTTCCCCAACTCAACCCTTCCTCTTGATTATTATGCAGTGACCCGTCCTTACCAGCACCACCACCACCGAACCCACCACCTTGTCCCACCGGTGCACCAATGCAGGTGTAACTACTTGTGATCTCTCCTCCTCCTCCTCCTCCCACATAGTGTCCATGGCTCCCACTCATAACATGACCCACATAATAATCACTCACCGCATGCTGGTGAGGAAATTGTGATGACCCAAAGGACACTGGCCTTGTAGGTGAGGCATACAGGTATGGCTGTGGTGGTGTCGGTGCGGGTGGTGGCATGTGAGTTGAGGATGAACCTGAGAAGTACCTCGGGAATCTTAGCGGTGCCGTTGGATCTCCTGATGGGTGATAACCCCCGGCTCCTATCGGTTGGCAGCATCTGAATATTAACACAAAGTAAATTTTATCAAAATATCAAACAGTATTGTGTTTTGTGTGTTGTGTACCCTAATATTATGTCTGCATGCTACCTTGCTTCTGCTTGAAATTGAAAAACAACAAACGCTAAAGATCCTCGACAAAAAACAAATATTTGACAAAAAACTGCAGATGTTAAAATGTAGCATTAAACGACAAGAAAGAAAAGAAAAACAAGTAATGGTGCATATATGCATACCCTAAGTGAGGGGCACCTTGTGCAGCAAGGCTATGATCACTACGAAAGACCAGTTGACGAGCCTGGTTCAGTGTCTCCGTTTCCCTCTCTGCCCAAAAGAATCACAAAAACAAATAATAATGATAATATTAATACTACGAGCATAGAATTAAAAAGGAAGAAAAAACAAAAGGGGCCCTCTCGAATTTCAGCGATCCAACAAAACAACACAACCTTTTGTGATTGAAATGACAACCTTTCATGAGCAAATCATTAACGGCCAGTAGAGACTTGGTTGAGTGAATGGTTTAGTTTAAAGAGTGGGAAAAAAAGGAGGATAAAGTAAAATAGGAAGAAAATAAAAAGAAGAGAAAAGTGTTAGTAGTGGTAAAGTATAGGTGGTACTAGCCTTGGCGGTGGCGGTTCATGTGTCCCCCAAGAGCCTGAGACTTGCAGAACTTAAGGGAACAAAATCTACACTCGTAGACCTTCCCACACTCGTCTTTTCCATCCTTCCCGCCGCTTTTCTTTTTCCTGCAACCTGCAACCATAACCATCCAATTAAAGCAACTTCCATGACACCCTTCTTTCCCTTTAAGCCCATTCTCGATTACCCAAATCCATCGCATAAATTTAATTAATTAATTAACCGCCCACAGAAAAATAGAATTAATTTTACTAACTAACTACTACTACCCTTTTATTTTATTTTCTTCTCCTTCTATCTACTTTTACAGTTGCATGATGTTTACCTTTGAAGTTTAAAGAAGAATAGGAGGAAAAGGATCACAAGGAAAAGGAAAAAAAGAATAAGAAGCGTACAAGGACAAAAACCAAGAATAAAATAAGAAAAAGAAAGTGTGATGAGCACTGTTTCATGGTCAAAGAATATACCCAAGTAGTGGGTAACAAATCACGGAAGTGTTCAATTTTGTTTCCTGTGAAAAGTGAAATCCTTCTTCCCATGGTGAGTGATTTTGAAAGAGAATTCAGAAAACAGAAAAAAAAATGTTCCTGTGATATTTTAGCGTCCATATGATAATATGGTATGATCATCAAGTTTACCGGGTGAAGAGCTATGGTCTTCGAGGACTTGTTTGCCATCTCGAGAGTACTCATCGGGCAAATTGTTAAGGTCTAACGGGTTTCCTTCTGGTCTCCTGTAAAGGAACAACAAAGCCATAAGAGAGAGAAAAAGTTAAGGGTTAGAGACGGAGAAAGAGGAGGAGATAATGAATCAGAAAAGGGTGTGAAGGTGTAGTAGTGGGGGAAGACCTACATGGTACCGACAGAGAGAGACAGAAAAGAGAGAAAGGAGAAAAAAAAGATGTGAGGCAAACACTCTTTTTTTCAAAAGGGAGGATAAAACGAGAGCTTTTTACAAAATTTTTGAGACTTTCAGTTTGAGACTGCAATATAGAGGCTAGTTGAGTGATGGTAGAAGATAAAGAGCTTTGAAAGTTCTCTATCAGTTCCTCTGCCACTCTCTCTCTCCTATCTCCCCCCACACAAAAAATTGAATGAACAATGGGACAGTGGGTCTCGTGACTTTAAAAGGAGAGCGTGAGTGTGGTTGTGGGAGTGGGGGCTTAATCAGGTTTTTGTAAATTGCTAGCTAGCTTCGTCTGGTTTGGTTGGGACTTAGGAAATGACAGACGGAATTAGAAAGGGTTAGATATATGATTCAGAAACATGTTGCTTTTGTATTAATTATTCCTAATACCCAGAGAAATTATTTTTATGTATAACAAATTTATATATAAAAAAAAGAGATAAAAAATATATTAAATGAATTATATGATGAAGAAAGGTAGAAAGAAAAAGAGCAATATACTGGTTATTGTATATTATATGACGCTTCTGCCTCCAGTTTTCTTTGTTTTTTGTTTTTGCCCTAGCTAGAACTGCCAGCAAATGGTTCAAAAATATTCAAATAACATCAGTCAAATGCATTGAAAAAAATTAACTAATATTCCAAAAGAAAATCTTTACCAACAAAGGATGGCAATCAAATGCACAGTACAAATCCTTGAGCATTAAAGGTTGCCCTAAGAATGAAAGATGACATTTATACCAGAAAGAAAGCAAGACAAGGCATAGGGTACGTAGACATTTTGCGTGGTTATTGTGCTTAAAGAGGGGAGGGGGCATGTTTGAGAACAGGTCATGTATGGTCCACAATAGCTCAATGCCTCCTTCTGGGTGTAAAATTCTACCCAGGGGACTTAGACTTGCATCAACGAAGGGTTGCTATCAGTATCTATCATTAGGGTTTTTTGCAATCTAAGTTGGGATAGACTCGACCCCCACTTATTGTTTTATTCTTTGAAAGTTGATACATCTCATAGATCACATATACATAGTCCTTTTCAATGTATGTGCATGAAGAAAGTGAAGAAATGGATTTGAAATTTCTTAATGTTTTCATCATTATATTCTCTGTTCGCTTTAGATGCATATCTTTAAATCTAATCTCTCCATCTCTGTTGACTGATTCCTTCATAAGACAGTTAACTATTTAGCTAGGTAAAATGCTATGCAAATTAATATGCAGAAGCAATTAATTAACTGTAGTACATTTCAAGTTTTTCTTTTTAAAAAGTAGTGGTGGAGCTACTGATGATTACTGTCGAGTTTACACCACAGAAAAAGGTATATATATTTAGTAAATGCAGTTTCACAGTTAAGTTAAATACGGATCCATGATTGATATCAAGTTGAATTTATTTTGAGTGACACCAAACACAGACATATATATACATACCTGTCATAAAAGGTACTTAGTTTTGAGAACGGCTTAAATTAAGCAGCGGTTTATTTGGTCATTGACGTAACTTGCTTGAAGCTAATTAAGGCCTGCCTCTTGATCTGGAACAGCATATGTGTGAAAATGGCAAAAACAAACATTAGTTAGAGAGGGCCTCTTGTCCACAAACTGAGAGGTTCCCCCACCACACCTGAAATGGTTATAAAGGAGAAAGAAGACACTACCTAATAAGAGGCCTAGCTAGTCATTAAAATCAGGTGATTCATGGACCACACTACTGCAGCTGGCCTTGACTAGCTGGTTGGTACTATGAAGGAAATGTTGTGAGACACATTCGATATTTTCAAAACCTGGACCCAAAGATTCATGCAATATGACCCCGCCCCAACTATCTGAAATTTTTTCTTGCAAGTGTGTGTGTATATATATGATTACTCTCCAAGTGGTCCTTCACGAATTTAAGCAGTAAATCCAACAAACACTTCTTCCGTATTCAGAGCTCTAGCAAGGCAAACTTACAAACCAGTGGAGGAAATTGTCTTCATCATCATGCTGCCCTCCTTCCTTTCAAGCAGTCAAAATTTAAATTGAAAAGTTGTTACCTTTCCTTGTGACAGAAAGTGCATTTCATTTATGAGTGCTACTTAATAATATAAACCCGAAAGAAAACAGAAATTAAACAAAATTAACAAACTACATAGATGTTCAGACCATGACCAATGCAATATTGGTAACAAAATCAAATAAAACATTAAAACTACTGCATACTTCAAAATTTCCAAGGCATGTTGGATTCTATTCATGAAAAAGTGGAGAGGAGAATACCTGTTCCGATCGTGGTACTACAAATCAGATTATGGTGATATCTATTACAGGTAAAAAAGTTTTCTGACAAATTCATTTGAGGCGTTGGGTGTAAGCGCTTAAATGATGCAATCTCAACAGGTTTCAACTCTAAACATGCGTGAGACCAACTAACAGTACACTACCAGCAAAACTTTGAAACCAAATTAACCCCTAAAGTTTAGAAAACCTATAATTGTATAATCAATTATTACAAACAATTCAATTTTTCTTCTCTTTTTGGGTAAAGCTTGACCTAGTAGTAACTAATGCATACCAATTTACCATGATGAGACCTATAAATTATTAGACACCAAATAATTAATTCGCATTTAGATAAATTTCTGGTTTTACATTTTGAAAGAAAAAAATGTTAAAAAAAATAATATTAATAATTATTAATATATATTTCAATTTAACTTTATCTCATGAAAACTATAAACAAATGTGCCCAAACATGAGAAAAAGTTCATGGATTACTTTGACCATTCACTTTGAATTTGTGTTGATTTAGCCGAAAGCAAATTACAAATACATGAGATGCAAATTGAGATATAATTATATCTTTGGTCTGAGAAGTATCTTTTTGAATAGCTTTACCTGACTAAAAAAAGGATAGATTAATTAATGTTTACACAGATACGGACAGCAACTTTAATTAAAATCAGATAGCATTGCCTATATATCCAAAAATAACTGTAATATATAATATTTTTATCGTTTGATTAATTTCAATATTTACCTTTTGTATATATTATGTAATGACTTAACAGGGTAAAAATTATTTTATCATTCAATTATAAAGTGACATATATAATATAAGTTTATTAATTTTTATAGCTACTATCTTAAATATATATATATATATATATATATATATATATATATATATATATATATATAAAATAATGTGTTACTAGGACTTGCTGATTAAACTACAAACATAATACCAAATGAAGATGAAAAAATGTTATTTTACAGACACTGTGTTATTCACAAAAGACTCCATTTTGTATTAATAAAATAAAATGTAAATGCATTACTAGAATGTTGAAAAAGAAAAGGACTTCACACATTAATAACGAACATGGCTTTTTTGTTTGGGTATAGAAATGGCTCTGTTGCCTATGACCTAGCCAAACCAGCTAAAGATTGAGGTTGTACAGTTGGTATTATTTTATAAGTTTTGATATATGGAAGAAATTCCCCTTATCAATTATATTCATAAAAGAAAAAAAAATTATCTCTATACCTTGGACTAATTAAAACACGATTTTAGGTGCAAATACGGACATGCATGTGTGTCTAATTTATTGTCATGAGCTAGTAGATTAAATTATATTTAATAGAATATAAAATGGTACTTAACCTTCAGTTCAATATTAAACAACTATATATAACAAGTATCACATAATATCAATGGTCAAAATAAAAATGTATATTTTTAAAATGACGAAAAATAAGAAAAAATACGTAAAGAAATTTAAAATGTTCTCATTTTACATGAATTAAAAAATATTTAAATATTGTTGAAAGTCCCACATCGCCTACCTCATGTATGGTTTAAATACATGTTAGGCTACTCCACATATTGCCAATTGGTTTTATGTTGGAACTTAACATGGTATCAGAGCCAAAGTCTAACATCTTTCCAGTTATTGTCATGGGTCAAAAGTTACCCTTTAGTTGGGTCAAAAGTATCCTTTGCCTGGTTCGGCAGGCTTCGTTGGAGGGGGTGTGTTGAAAGTCCCACATCGTCTATCTCATATCATTTGGTATGGTTTAAATACATGTTAAGCTACTCCACATATTGTCAATTGGTTTTATGTTGGAATCTTAACAAATATAAATAAATTATTAAAAAATGCATTGTATATTGACATTTTAAATTAAATTTAGTCTACTATAGTCTCTCAGTCGACTCCTTAATAAAAACGAAGTAAATAGGAATCATATACAGTATACTAATTATATTTGAGATAATGTCATATGCAATATAAAAAGCTTTAATTATTTTACTATTAAATACTTTTTATAAGCAAGATAATAAATTTTCTTAAATTAGATACATTTTATTTTTGAAACCATTATTTTTTCCATTGATTAAAGTTTAAACATTAAATGTTATTTTTGGTAGAATATCGTAAATTTTTCAAACAGCCAGTTTCACATGGTAAGCATATGATAAGGGGTTAATATTATTAAGAATCAATAAAGCTTCGTTTAGTATGCGTAATTATTTGTGAATTCGTATTTTTTTTCTCTGCATATAAAAAGGTCAATTAAAGATGATAGAAGAGAACAAGTCACATTTTAGAAATGTGGAAAGCATGCCTGATTAAAAGAAAAAAATGCATAAAAAAATCTGAGTATAGATCTATAGTAAAGTAATGCTAAAATTTGTTACATAGGAATAAATTCTTTATCTCTATAAATTGTAGGAGTGTTTATTTGTGTCTCTTAATTATGGCTCAAGGCTTGAGTAGTTTTTACCTTTATACCTTTGATATTTCGGTTATTAATCAGCCAAGCTCTAGGGCATGCTTACAACCTTACTCTCTTACGATAAACTCATTACAATCTTGTTAATTGTTTTATTTTTTTTATAATTAGCTTATTGACGGTATATATGGGAAGTGTGTTAGTGAAAATTTGATATTTTTGGCCTACGCTACTTGTAGTTCTAGCCACATATTTTTGGATGATTTTTGCTTCATTGGATTTGCATGGTAAAAATGTTAAAAAGACCTAAAGACAGGGCAAATTTAGTTGAACCCTGTGACTGGATTGAGACACATATAAGGAAAACAAACAAAAGGGGAGTTGGAACTTTTGAGGAAGAAGTAAAGAAAAGATGCATCTTCCTAGGAAAATTACTCATGACTTGCAAACAATTAGTTACCAGATGGAACCAATGAAGGTTACATCACTATCTTGTACCAAGTGTTGGTGGTGATGAGAAGACGAATCAGAGAATTGTCTGCATCCCTATTAGCATTCAATTTCCATCAATTACACAGTGGTTCACCTAATTGAATCAGTGCCAAATTATTGATGGTATGGTGATTGGTCTTATATACAGACCCCAAAAATGGATGTCGCTAGTTATTGTTCACTCTTCTCAGATAGCTCTTGCTACATACTGTGCTTGCCACAAGGAGGGATTGAGAGAGAGAGATCATGGGCTCAGCTGCTTCAAACTTTCTGTGATTGAATAGCTGTTTAGTTACTTTGATTTTTCAGCTTGCAGTTTCCATTTGCATATACACCCTTTTTAGTTCTTAGAAAAAGTAGACCTCATGCATTATGTCTTTATGCTTTTGTATCCACTCCCGGTTCTTTCTCCTATTACTTTCACCAGAATGCTACCAGAAGCCCTCACTTCTGCTTCATTCTAGCTTACCTTCATTCCCAACCGGGAACAAACCTTATAATATTAAATACTATTTTTTGATTTTGAATTGTACATTCAAACATGAAAGACTAGCTAATTTGTAGCCTCTTGTTCTTGTTTTTTTCTCTCAATAAAGTTGTATACCAACCACAAATAACTAAAGTGGCCTCAATTTGCAGACAAAGAACTAAAGTGGACTTAACATAGTACGGTAGCCTAACAAGACTAAACCATATGTATTTGATAAAGATTGGTTGGTGTGAAGGCATCTTTTCTTTCCTTCCTGTGGACATCAAACTAATCTCGAGCCTCTATTTTGGCTACCTAGCTCTGCATTGATGTGGCTGCCTACACAATGCACCACTTAAATCTTTACACCCAAATGAGTACTACGACCAACTCCCAAAAGTAACCTTAAGTGGTATGCTCCAAGTAACCTACACATAGCATAATCACACACAAAGCCCGAGGGCACGCTAACCAACACCATGAGGTGTCTTAGTGTTACCCTTCTCCCTATCCTATATGCCCCATTATGATACACTCTTGTTTACGTCTTCAATGCCTAATAAGAGCTCTCACTTAAGTATGCTAGTTTATTACTCATCTCCCTGGTTTTATCCATGCCTTTTCCAACAACATTCTTTTTTTCACTTCCATCGCATTTCGTTATAGCGGAAACAAATGTAATTAAATGTGACCACATCTAAGTTTTCTCTAACCCTGTAACGTATGAACAAAATATAAATACATGCCACCTCTTATACAAAGCATAGTACCTGTCACCTTGACTATAATTTTTTTGTTTAACCCATGTACGTGATATCCAATCACCTACAGAACTTGATGTCTCTGGATGAATGCAGTAGAACTGGTGCTTGAAGATGGAGAGTAAAGATAAAGTTCAATAATACTCGACTAAATTTTATCAAAAGAGAGCGCATGATTAAAATTCTTGTGTAACTTTTTAGTTATTTGTGTGCTTTTGTGGGGTTCAAGCAACTTGATTTTGATAATTGCATGATAATGATTGGATATCTGATATTGAGAGCTGCAGACTGTGGATATTTTTGGCAATTTTAAATTCAAACAATTTTGTAATGTAAAGTTAGATTACATAAATTAACAGGTTCTGGTTTTATGTTGGAACCTTAACATGGTATCAGAGCCAAAGCCTAACATCTTTCGATTATTGTCATGGGTCAAAAGTACCCTTTGCCTGGTCCGGTTGACTTCGTTGGAGGGGGTGTGTTGAAAGTCCCACATCGCCTACCTCATGTCATTTGGTATAGTTTAAATAGATTAGACTAATCCATATATTGTCAATTGGTTTTATGTTGGAACCTTAGCAGGATCGATCATTCTTAATTTAATTTATTTAGATAATCTAATAAGTTCACTCATTGAATTGAATTTGTCTTAATACCAAATAGAATAATAAACACATTAATTGACATGTTTGAAAATAGTTTGTCCATATTTTTCTTTGTAAATCTAATCATGTTTGAAAATAGTTTTGCGCATGTTAGTGTTTGATAAATGTCTTTGGTCAATGTTTATCAACTACTTTTTTGCCCAAGTTTGCTGGACGTGTTTTTTTAGGGTCTAGACAGAGCTGGAAAAAAAACTGTAGTACCATAACGAGCCCGCTCTTACAAAATTAAAAGCCCGCACTTACAAACAGATCAAGATCCGCTAGTAAAATATATGGGCCGAAATTATTCAATCGTAAAATTCACATATAAAATCAAAAGAGGAAAAACAATAGATATACAAAAATTATGAAAATAAATTGACTTTTCTGCTTATACATATACCTATTTTTTTCTTACATTAAGTTCAAGGAGTGCCCATAATACTCATTTATTACAAAATATATATTTTTTATTCCATCAACGGTCGTGTATTTATTGTTTCTGTAAATTTATTGCATATAAATAAACTTGACAAATCATTACAAAAATATTGTTTCCGTATATTTTAATTATTTTTATTTTATACATGATGATTTTGTATTATTTATGCTAATGTTATCCCTTTTATGATTTTTACATCCTTAAATGTTTATTATAATTATGCCAATTCATGTTTATCAAGGAATATAATTATTGATCAAGTTACGCGAATTTATTTTATCTGACGAGTGCTCAGTCATTATGAATAATAATAATAATAATAATAAAAAACATTTCATGTTTCCTATACAACTAAATGAATATAAATAATAGAAGCATTGAGGGAAATGAAAAGGATGAAGAGAACGAGAATGTATAGTTGGATTTAATATACTTATAGCTGAAGAAAGTTCAATCCATGAACCCATAATACCAATAATCCAACCTGTTAATTAGGTTTAAGCCTTGAAAGATTTTTTTTTTTTCATTTATAATGGTCTTATTTGATTTCCTTTTTTTTTTTAAATACTTATGATTTATATAAAAAAGCAAGTAGAAATCCTAGGTCTCACTTCCATTTCTTCTTTTTTAAATATTTTACTTAATGATTTATATAATAATACATTTATGATTTGACATCATATATATTCAAGACGACTTCACTTTCACTTTAAAAAAATTGTGTTCAATTTGTTTGTTTTCAATAATGTAAAAGGGTTGCAAACGCAATTACTTCAAAATAAATTTGTGTTTAACATGATTTATCCATTCTAATAATGTTTTAAAAATTTTAACTTTTCAATAAATTTTAAAAAATTTACACCATTTTCGTAAAAAAAAAGAAACTTATTTCCCACCCACCAATAATTGATTTGTCTTCAAAAAAATTTGGTGTGCTTAGGTATAATAATACGACCAAAATCCTAAATGAGCCTTATTTAAAGTAATTACTAACATTGCATGCAATTAACTTCTTTTTTGTGTGAATTTGGATTTTTAAACCTGGTTAGTACTTATTTTTAATTGCTGACATTCATGTAAATTAGTTATCAATTTTGTTGAATAATCTCCGTACATTAGTGTTATGGGAATAAATAATTTGAATTTTTCCTAATAAAAAGAATAATGGAAAAACTTATCCTATCCGTTATTTGATGTTTGTTCGTGGAGTTATCGTGTCATCTCTCTGAGTCTATCATCCACAGAATGGCCACTGCTAGTCTCATACCATCCTCCTGGTTACCGCCGCTGTCTACTCCTTTCAAGGTTTTTCATCTTCCTCTAAAAAAATAAGAATCTTCTTCGTCTTTATTTCTTATATTTGGGCATTGCAGGGAACTGTCAAAACCTTAGTTGCAAAACCATGCCTGAAGGTTCAGCGTGCAAGACCCCTCGTTTTCGTGGTTAATAAGGCTGCATCTGCCCCGGTGGCAGCGCCCATCGTCGGCGTTCGGTTTCGGCTGGACAATTTGGGGCCTCAACCGGGTTCGAGGAAGAGGGCCAAGAGAAAGGGTAGAGGAATATCGGCAGGGCAGGGAGCAAGTTGTGGTTTTGGGATGAGGGGTCAGAAATCTCGATCTGGGCCTGGCGTTAGGAAGGGTTTCGAAGGTGGCCAGATGCCCCTCTATCGACGAATCCCCAAACTCAGAGGAATTGCAGGAGGTAATGTCCCAATTCATTGACGACTCTTTCATCGTTTTAATACCCTGTCACAATCAGTAGCAAACTGAAAAGCATTACTGTTAAAACTGCAAGTTAGATGAGTGTGGCAATCCCTTAATGCAGATAAGAAACTGTCACCGAATTGTAACTTAGTTTACTTTTACTTGTGCGTATTATTGTATGTTGGGCTCTAGTCCTGGTATTGTTATATGTCATTATACTCTGACTCTTTTAGCATACCTTCGGGACCTATGTCTTCTTGCCCTTTTTTTAAATCAACCGACATTTTAGATCCAATAAGTCACAAGCTGTAGTGTAAACTGTTTTATAGTAGGTCATTTGGTTACATATAGTTGCTACATTATATTTCCTTGGTGGTCAAGTTGTTATCTCCCCTAGAGACGGGTTATATACATTGTGGGATTTGACACGATGAATTTCTCTAATATTTTAAAGAAGCAATTGGAGCAAAGAAGACTCCGGAAATGGTGATTGTTGTGGGAAGGGAATCATTTCATTTTGGATGCGATCAATCTCTAGCATCTAAGTTTAGTTTCCTCAGATGTCATGTCAGACATTTTTACTTATTATGTCCCCTTACATCTCAGATATTGTTGTATATTGAAAAATGCTAGCAACATGATCTTTTGATCACACTATGTGCTGAAATTTATTATTAAGTCACAATATTTTGTGCGTCTCATTTTCTTAATGTATTTCAAATATGATTTTATAGTTTACAATGTTAACCAATAAGTAGTAGAGATTGTGTTGTTTAGCACGGTTGTGTATTTCTTCTTTTTTCTATTTCCTCTCTGAACTTGTTTAGTCAATGCTTGTGCATTTATCTCTTTCGGAACTATTTTTTTATGCCCTTTTCCTTGCCCTTTATTTAGGTATGCATGCGGGATTGCCCAAATATGTCCATGTAAATCTGAGAGACATAGAAGATGCTAAATTTAAGGAAGGGGAAGAGGTGTCTCTAGAGTCACTGAAGGCAAAAGGTGTGATTAACCCATCAGGAAGAGAAAGGAGACTTCCTTTGAAGGTACAAATTACTTGCTGATTTAATGACATCTAAATTTCTTCCTTAGCTGTTGTCTTAAATCTTCTCCAAGATCATTTTCTGGATGTGTAGAGGTATTATGAATGATTAACTTTTAAAAATAAATGAGGATGCTACTACCCAGCAGTGGCAGCAACTGCCAAAAGGTCAATTCTTTAGAGGCCCTGGCCTGTGGTGAATGGAGTTACGTGCTATTAATTCTTTGATGTTCTTTCATCCGAGTTTGTTGTTTTAGTTTATATCTGTAGTTTTTGGTGTGTCTGATATGTATATAAGATCAAACACATGATATTTAGTTGGATGTGTCAGTGTTTTGAAGCTTAAAATTGTGTTTCGAACACCAAAAATTACGTATACTTGTATAATCTTATCATTGAATTTCTCAGTTTAGAAACTGTACTTGGATTGTCAATTCGTCTATTTCGCCATTTCTTTTATCCATCATGGATAAATTGGGTTATGGTGCTTTTTAGACTATCAGGACTCCCCTTAAACATACTTTATGGTGATTTTTCAAGCAATAACTACGGTGCAGCCTACAGCTCAGGAGGCAAATATTCAAAGTCATTCATTTGTGTCCTTTTTCCATATCTTTATTCCTGTGTTTTTGGTACAATAAAAGGTGATGGTCTTTTCCATATCTTTATTCCAGATGCCAAATTCTAGACTCATTATTCTGTTGAAAATTATCTTCGTGGGATAAGCAATGAGATGTAAAGACATTCCCGTCACGGTGTAGCAGAATCTTTAAATGATCATTTTTCTAGCAAAAAACGAAAAATTTGGGTAAATAAACTGCACTCTATCTTGACATTGATTCAAATGGAAGGATACTGGTTGTAATGATTCTAGTAATTAACTTCTGCGAGGATATTTACTTACCTTTACTTATTGAAACTTTAGCTCGCACTGGCCAATGCTGTGTACATGGATCGTCATGCATATCTTGATTAAATTTTACTGTATTCATTCTGTATAAATGCATTTCTGGTTTCACAGACACGCGGGAAAATCTTTGCAAAAAATTGGGTTTTTTAAACCTTTAAACTGGATAATATAGTATGTTTAAGCTAGCCTTTTAATTCTATTTACCCATCCAATGCATAATCCGGACTCCTGAAATTTGATCTTGATGAATCTAAACAAAAATTATTGTGACTTTTGGATTCAGATTTTGGGTGAAGGAGAACTGAGCAAGAAGTTGACGCTAAAAGCCCGTGCCTTTTCCACAGCGGCAAAGGAGAAACTTGAGAGTGCTGGATGTTCTCTCACCTTGCTTCCTGGCCGCAAGAAATGGGTTAAGCCATCGGTTGCTAAGAACCTTGCCCGCGCTGAGGAATACTTTGCCAAGAAGCGCGCCGCAGCCGCCACTGAGGCAGCCTCAGCTTGAACTTGAACCAACTCTGTCTCGTCACATTTTAGAAATCTTCAAGAGAGTTGCACATTGATTTCTTTAGGAACCACCTCACATATTTGTCGTTCTTCTGATTTTTCTCTGGTTCATGAAGCTGTTGTGTTACTTAAGGCATTAATTCCATTCTTCATTTTGTAGTCAAATGTGTTCAGTTCTGGTTCCAAACTATAATTAGTGTTGTATACCTTGTAACATTTTGTTCAGCGACCACTAGAAAATGTTTTGAAAAAGAGAAAGCGTGAAAATGTAAATTTTGGTTTGCCATTTTTTGTCTTGCGTGTTTAATTTTAACATGAGGGATATTTTTCTAGTTTATTATTGATGATGGATAATGGAAGTTCTTGGTTCTGCTAATGTTCCCTATTTAGTTATGTAAATTTCAATCCAACCCCATACGTTACGGAGAAACTACTTCCTTGACTTTGGCACTAGACACCTTCCAAAACAAGATGACTTGCATCCTTCATCCCTCAACTTCCCCACCTACCTCTCTCTTTCTTCTTCTTTTTTTTTCTTTTTCCCTTCTATACATAAAATTTTACAAGTTGAGAAATATGGTGGTATATAACTAAGCCTTTATTTAGATGGTTTGAAAGAAACTGGAGGAATGAAAGAGAAAAAGAAAAAAAAGTGAGAAAATAATTGAAAAGTGAAATTGTTTAAAGTAGAGGAAAAAGAAAGAAAAAAAATAGATGATAAAGAAATGAGAATTTTTTATATATAATTTTATTCAAAAATATTGTCTGAGAACTCAGATAATCGATATCATGATTTAGGTTCTCGAACGATTTATAATTTATGTAAACAATTACCATAAGTTATAATGATATTTTCAAATCAAAATTGAATATGTGCAATTTCTTGATGAATCTATATTCATTAATGCACATAATGGATTATCACATTATTTAGTTAATTATTTCAATGCATATCAATAATAATTTTGTGGAAGCCCGTAATGGTTTATTATCTAACAACAATACCAAAATTATATTGAAGAAGTCACAAATATGGAAAACAAATATTATTATTACTATGCTATACTTTTTGTATGTCATGCATTTTTTTCACCAATTTTATTATAGTAAGTCAAAATAGAGTAAAAAAATTAGATATCAGCTTCGTGTATGGGTTAGCAACTTCATCTTTGTAAATACCTAAAGCACACCAGTTTCAAAAACCAACGCAGGGATAAATAGGTCAAACATTCAACGTTACCTCACAAATATGGGATCAAATACTTTTCACCATAAGTCATTTTTAATCTCGTCTTCCAAACTCACCTTTCTGTACTCACATTCCTTCGATTGCATCTGCTCTCCCACCCTTTCATCTCAAACAAAGACTAGGTCTTTCGTGGTTGTTTTTACAGCTTTCATAGATTTTGCTTGTTAAACAAAGTACGCAAGGTGGAAAACCTAGGATTTTTATTTTTTTTCTTTCGTGATAGAGATTTGTAAGAAAATGGTCAACAAAATTTAGCAATTTGATGTTAAATCATTGTTTGTTTACCCTATGCCCAGTGGATGTCACGCACCAGATTTTATTTTATTTTTAATTTTCGACAAACTTACTTACGTCAACAAAATGATTCTGTAATGCTATCGTTTATAATGCCTCCCTATTAGTGTTGATTTTGGATCTATTCCTCTTAAAAGCCACTGCCAAAAGCAAAGGCAACACATGGTGGTTGTGTTGTGTGAACACCAACTTGATTTTGGGACCAAAGCGTGCCAATCCTTTCAAACCAAAATTGTCCTTTTCACCAAATCCTAAGCCTAACTTGGACACCCTCAGCTGCTTTTAATACAATTAATAAAGAATATGTTGATGACAGAAGGTAAAAATCACATCAAGGAGTTTCTTATTTAAAAAAAAATTAAAAATAGGAAACAAATCATATACAGTAAAACTTTACCGATAATTAAGGTTTGAAAGAACAATAATTTGCAAAATCTGGACATAGTTAATAGGGAATATGATTGCAGTTCTTTACTGGGATGGAAGTATTGTATGTCCCACTACTTTGGAAGCATAGATGCAAGAAAAGGTATGTCTTTCGGTTTGTCATGATTATTTCATTTCTTCATCAATATGTCTTCTTTAATCTTTTCTTTTATTATTTTTAAAATTTTTACAAGTATTTTAATATTATTTCTATTAACATGTCGTTTGCCCAAAAACTACAGTATTAGGAATGGATTGGCTGCAAATCCATATCAAATCGCAACGAAGACGTCAACCCACTATGAAAAATTTGTTTTTATGCAATGCATATGTTTTTGGGTCAGTTTGAGGGTCAAAATTCGATTGGCTCAAAAGTCACTGCGTCACAATATCTGATAATCTTTATTCGAATCCTTTCCAGCACTACCATATTTTCTCTGTCAATTTCTCACTGCTTTCTCGTCATCTCTCCATCCCCTTTTACATTCTTTCTGTTCCTTCACTTTTGTAGGAGCATGCCCTCCTGTTCTTTTAAAAGAAAATATCTCTATTTGTCAATTAATTGAAAGAAGAAAAAAAAACTATTAGGTAATACTTTAACGGTAATTTATTAGTCCGTACTTTTTTTACTATAAATTCATTTGTAATAAAGTACTTTTTTATAAATTATTACATTTACTAAAAATATAGTAAAAAAATACAGATGAGAAATCCACAAGTTTTAGAAACTGAGAAGGTACTAATAATGTAAGAAAAATAAATAAACAAAATAAGTAAAGATATTGCTTCCTTTATTTTTTGGAAAAAAAACGTTAAGAAGATTTTGTATGACAACTTTATCAAAGGAATTTTCCTCGAAAAACATCTTATAATAAAGAAAGTGTGAACGAAGAAAATATAAAAAATAGATGTGAAAGATAAAAAATATATTCATTAACAAAATAATATGAAAAAGAATAATGTTATGAATATATTAAAATTAAATATTTTATTATAAATTTATGAATAAAATTATTTATTAATTTTTTAACAAATTACCTTCTTAATTAATATACTATATATATAATTATAAAATATTTTTATTAAAAAATTATATATTTTTTTAAAATTATTAAAATTAAAATTGTAACCTCTAGTGATATTTATATTGAAATATAAGATTAAAATATTTAAGATCATACATTTATTTAGTTATTTACATAATTTGTAATAATACATTTATCATAGTTCAACCTAACTCACTAGGATAAGGTAGTGGTAATATTTTTCACTCGTATAACTATCACACAAATATTGTCAATATTTACGTCATAAATAAATAAATCAAACAACACAATTATATAATAAATCAAGTGTTAATATTTGACTCTGTAAATTATATATAATTTTATCATATTTATGAAAGAATCACATGCTTTGAATATAAACTACTTATGTATTAGTCCGTATCACACATTTTTCCTAAGTAGATATCTTCAACATAAGTACAAAATTGAAATATATTCTTAATCTGACAAGGTAAATCTCTATGATTTGTCAGATAATTTTTATTTTTTTCACACTACAAGGTAAATCATAGAGATCTTCTTCAACTCTCACTACCTGATTTTTTTTTTCTATGTAAGTCTAGTATAAGTAGAGTTAAGATATATTCTTCAAAATCTCAAATTCAATACATTACTTGAATCTCAACATAGTATTTACTCATTGAAAACTACTATGTGCTAACTTTCATCAATTCACTACATATATAACACATATATAACACACACACACACACACATATATATATATATGAGTATTATATGATATTTCTTATATTACAACAATATATTATTCTATGCATATATTAACACTCAACTCATTATTTAATGTTCAATACATGTATTATAATATCTTAAGTAATGTATATACAATTTCTCACATTACTATAAAAATAAATTTTTCTAAGATTTGAGCTTTGTTGATTTTTGTTGTCGTCATTTCTTCTATAAATATCATTTTTTACTAATTATTGTTTTATTGAATTCCTTATTTTCAGAGCTTCAATTTACATAGATAAAATGTTATATTTAGAGTTTGAAGTTATTTTTTATTATTTTGAGAAGTATGAACAAAACACTTTTAAGGAATTTCGCTTGAGTGAAATCCTTCCGAGAATTACCTTATTTTCTGAAAAATTTTCACTTAAGAGAAAGTTTTCTCGCTTGAATGAAAATACACCAAGACAAACACCATTCATTGGAAGTTTTTCGCTTGAGCGAAAATACACCCAGGACCGAGAGGAACCCTTTCCTCTATTGCACATTTTGCTTAAGCGAAATATAGAATTAATAAACTTACATAACTTGTGCTAAATCGCATTTCATGCATCAAACACTATCCAATAAGACTATATTACTTAATTTCCTTTAAAAACATGTCATACATAATCTAAATATGGTTATCACACCTTGATATTTTATATATATCATTACTCAAAGTTAACACATTCAATCACAATTTCAAGATACAATACAAACAAATCAAATTCCAACAAATTCAATAATGTGAGAAGTTATTTTTGCTGTCAAAATCTTATTCACCAAAAAACTCAATTAATAAATTGAATCTACCAATAATGCTCCTAAACTATTAAAGATTCAGCTTTACCCCAACCAAAATCACATCCAAGACCCGTAGACCCACCTACAAAACCTTAGCTCCAAATTTATAAAAGTATAAAAGTACTCTAAAATCATGAAAAAAAAATTACTCTATTTAATATTCTAGTTACGTTGTTAGGAATACAATAATGTATTTACGTAGAAAAAAATTGGTGAGAAAATTTTAGAAAAAAGTAATAAGATTTAGAATTTAAAGTACTTATAAATAAAATTTGTAAGTAAGAGTTTTTTATTTAAATTATTCAATTACAGTTTTTCTTTAAATGATTAAATTCTTGGTATAATATCAAATTAAAAAGTATAGAATATATAAATCAATTTATTTAATTATTATAATCGTATATATTATATTTTACCCAAATGATATGTTAAAAATTAATATACATATATAAATAAATCGTTGTAAACATAAAATGATTTTTTTTATTAACAATTTAATTTTATTAAATATTATTTTTATTATAATTTTCACTTTTTTATTCACATAAGTGTAGAAAAAGCATAGAGCTGAGTGCAAAGTGACTTTTTTATTATCATTATCGTTCAAAACAAAGAAAAATAATTATTTTTACTGTGTTTTTTTTTTACATTAATCCTTTCCTATAGTTAACTTTCCTTCCGTATAGAGAGGATTTTATTTTTATTTTATTGAAATTTATTAACAGGTAAAGTGTGCATACATAAAAAAAAATCTCAATATTAAGTAATATGAAATAGAGCCACGTGGGAAATTGCAGTTGATCTAAGTGTTCTTCACTCACTAGTAGATGTATAATTATTTTTTACATCACTTAATTTATACGTATTATTTTATATTCATATAGTCAATATTTTTGAAATCGGATTCAAAAGAAAATATGATTTGAAGGCATAAATCAATATTTAATCAAATTTAATAAAATAATATTTTTATATTATAATAAATATATAATAAATTTATTATTAATTTTGTAAAATAATAAAAAATATTGTTATATTATAATAAAATTATAATATAAAATTTATTAGAAAATATAAACTAAATGATTTTAAAATAAGATAAAATATAATAAAATAATAATTATTTAAAATTAAAGTAATTAATATAAAAATTAAAAATTAAAATATATTATATTTTTTATAAAAAAATATCTTTTATTATTTTTATTAAAATCAGTTTGACTCGCCCATTTTACTGATTTTGTTATAATTTAATTAAAATTCAGTTATTTAAACATAAGGAATTGATTTCTTTTAAGATTTTAATTCCATTGATAGTTTTAATCTGATTTTCAAATAATAATATAAAATATATAATATTTTATTATATGATGATTTTTTTTTATATTTTTAAATATTTTTTTCTCAATATTGTCACAGGAAATTGTGGACATACTATGATAACACACGATCTTGTGGCGGAGACATTGGCAGCACACAATACCGGCGGAGTAGGCGTTGGAGACACTGACAAAACGTGAAGCTACAAAGAGACGATGGCAAAATACGAATCTGCGGAAGAGGCCTGGCAGAACACGAAGCTCATAAGTAGTTTCAGATTTTAACAAAATAATTTGAGGTTAAATAATATATTATTAATAAATAATAAATAAATATAAAAAATAAAAAAATAAAATTATAAATATATATCTAAATATATTAAATATCACTACTACAAATAAAGCTTTCAACGTCGGTCTAAAAACTCGACGTTAAAGTTTTTACTTTAGATAGCTGGCCTAAAGTATGATTTTTTAAATTAATAATTTTTATTTATTTATAACCCTTTACCCCTTTTATTTATCTAGAAGTCTCCTCTCTTCATATTATATTTTTATTAGGTCCTCCATCTCTTTATATTATATTTTTTATTTTTTAGAAGTTTTTTAATTTTTAAGAGAATTGTCATTGGCAGGATTCGAACCAAGTACTTTAGAGTTGGAGGTCGATACTCCAACCACTAAACTACTTGAATTTTTTGATAATAACTTACAAATAAATTATATTTATATACAAATAAATATATATCCGTGTAAATTTCACTACTAGAAAAATGTCAAATAGTAACTTCGAATCTCAACCCTGACCTCAACCTCGACGAACTCGAGGCCGAACCCCAACTCGGCGACATCGAACCCCAATGTCAAGCCAAACCCAATTGTCATGCTTGTGAAACCCAACGCAAACCCAGCGGAGCTCGAACCCTAACGCATACCCTAGTGACGTCGAACTCTAACCTCGAGCCAACCCCACTTTAATTCGGTCGCAATTAGCGATTGATTGATTGCTCAAGGATGTGTAAAAGATGATATATTCAATGTATGTTAAAAAAGTTCAAGCCAAACTGTTTTTATAGAAGATTTTCAAAATTGCTTGGTTTAATTAATCTGTTAAAAGATTCTTTTAATCTGTTAAAAGTGCAGTTTTAATCTGTTAAAACTTCTTTTAATCCAATAATACGTTCTTGATTCTTTAACAGATTTGTTTTAAGCTGATACGACAACGTTTATATCAATTAAAACACTTTACAAAAAATCTTCTAAGTTGATTTAATCGATTGTTTAGCGATTCAATCGATTGAAATACTTGCAAAACTTTCTCGTGACACTTTTCCAAGTAATTTTAAGCGATAAAAATAAGTTTTAATCGATTAAAGCAGCTGTCATGAAATTGTTTTAATCGATTGAAACGAGATTTAATCGATTAAAATAGTTCGATCGGTCATAACTACATTCTGATCGATCATAATTGAAACAATATAATAGCGGTTCCAGGTTAACCGCTATCTAAAATGTATCTCGCTTGAGCGACACCCTTCTGCTCGAGCGAAACGCCCTGCACAAAATTAGCATTCTCGGGTTGTATTTCGCTTGAGCGACACTACCCTCGCTCGAGCGAAATTAGATTCGATCGATCATAACGTGAAATGATCGATCATAATTGAAGGATATAATAGCGGTTCCCTTATAACCGCTATCTAAAGTGTATATTAGATAGCGGTTATAAGGGAACCGCTATCTAAAGTGCATATTAGATAGCGGTTATAAGGGAACCGCTATCTAAAGTGTATATTAGATAGCGGTTCCCTTATAACCGCTATCTAATATACACTTTAGATAGCGGTTCCCTTATAACCGCTATCAGTAAGTAAAAAATAAAATAAAAAAGACTTTCAACGTCGGTTCATATGGGAGCAGACGTAGAAAGTACTTCTACGTCGGTTGACTAGAACCGAGCGTAGAATGTGTTTAATATTCAATTTCAACGTCGGTTCATCGAGAAGCGAGCGTGGAAAGTACTTTCTACGTCGTCTCGGCTATAGCAGACGTTAAATAATGACGTAGAAAGTATATTTTGTAGTAGTGTATATATTAAATTTAAACAAGATAAAATCATAAATTATATAAAAATTACAAAATTAAAAAAATAGATAAAAAAATAAAATTATAAATATATAAATAAATATATTAGATGTAAATGAGATATAAGATTTGATCGAGAAGACACTAACAACGTGTGATAGTCACAGTATGAGAATCCAAACAAAAAAAATGTGAAAAGTAGAGAGCATAACAATAAAGATTTAGGATTTCAATCATTCTTAGATAGCGTGTTTTATTTTTTATTTCATAAAAATAATAAAATCAAATAAAAAAATGAAGAAAGGAACGCTTACAAGACAAATAAATGATTTTTTTAACTAAACATGGAAAAAAAAAGTGAAAACACAATAAAATATAAAAAAACACATGGTAGTGGCACAAACAAAAAGAACATGCACTATTACAAATAAGGCTTTCCACGTCGGTTCTGAAGGCGGTTCCGAAACCGACGTTATATCGAGCGACGTTAAAAGTCGGGACTTTTAAATCGAAAATTTTTATTTATTTCCAACCCCTCTCCCCTCTCTCTATTTATCTAGAAATCCCCCCTCTCTTTTATATTATATTTTTATTATTTATCATCTTTTTGTAAAATTTAGAGCATTACCAAATTAATTTTTTGTCATTGACAGGATTCGAACCCAGTACCTTAGTGTTGGAGGCTGATACTCCAACCACTAAACTACTCGAATTTTTTGATAATAACTTACAAATAAATTATATTTATATACAAAAAAATATATATCCGTGTAAATATATAAATATAAATATATTTATATATTTTGATATATTTATATAATTATATATTTATATGTTGGATGTGAGGACACGCTCGAAGGTGAAAGTGTGTCGAGTGAGTTTTCAAAATTTGATGTCAAATTTGTGAGCGAGTCTCTTTATATGGGTTTGTAATTTAATGACAGAATATAATATTTATAATTTATTAATGATATAAAATAAATATGAGAAACGCATTATTCGCTCAAGCGAAAAATACCAATTTTCGCTCAAACGAGGCTTGAACGAGTGAATTTCCATGAGTTTTAACGTATTTTCACTCAAGCGAGAGTCAATCTCACTTTCACCCTCGAACGCGCCTTCACATCCAACATATAAATATATAACTATATAACTATATAACTATATAAATATATCAAAATATATAAATATATAAATATATTTGTATTTATATATTCTATATTCTATATTCTATATTCTATATTCTATATTTATATATTTACACGAATATATATTTATATGTATATAAATATAATTTATTTGTAAATTATTATAAAAAATTATAGTAGTTTAGTGGTTGAAGTATCAATTTTCAACTCTAAAATACTGGGTTCAAAAAATCCTGTTAGTGACAATTCTCTAACTTAAGTAAATTTTTGGCTGAAAAAAATAAAAACACTTTCCAGAAAATATATATATTTACATGGATATATATTTATTTATATATAAATATAATTAATTTGTAAGTTATTATCGGAAAATTACAGGTAGTTTAGTGGTTGGAGTATCAACTTTTAACTCTAAAATACTGGGTTCGAATCCTATCGAGAGTAACAATTCTCTAACTTAAGTAAATTTTTGGTTGAAAAAAAATAAAAACACTTTCCGAGAAAATATATATAAATAAATATATATTTACACGGATATATATTTATTTGTATATAAATATAATTAATTTGTAAATTATTATCGGAAAATTACAATAGTTTAGTGGATGGAGTATCAACTTTTAACTCTAAAATACCTGGGTTCGAATCCCGTCTGTGACAATTCTTAAAATTAAAAGAATTTTTGGGTGAAAACGCATTCAACGTCGTTTTTTAACCAACCGAGCGTTGAAAGTGTATTTAACATCGGCTCAGCTTTAACCGATGTTAAATGGCGACGTTGAAAGTATATTTTATAGTAGTGATGGCCGCATAAAACATACCTAGACACATGTAACAAAAACGATGAGCATGCTAACAAATGGTGACATACAATTTTTGAAATGGAAGAAAATGAACGAACAGAAAAGACTAAAATTAAAAAAAAAAAAAACAATTAGTGTAATAATTGATGTGGTATATAAAATAATATATCCATTACAGCCAGTATTTATAACAATCTCATGGCTTCTTATATTACATCATATATTAAATCATTAGTATAGTATTTGGTTTTAAAATGCGTTTCCTACCCTAACAACTCCAACTTAATAAGCAAGTTATATGGGTATATTAATTAGATATGAGGAGAGAGTTTGCAATTATGTATATATATTTTTTTCCTTTCACGACATTTTTTGTTGTTTTTAATATCCCAGCAATGATCCTTGATAAATCATTAAAAATAAATATAATAAATTAATATATACAAAACGAAAATGTATTTATAAAATTAACAGCCACCTTGAAGATTAAAATTAGTGCTAAGATATAAAGTGAGCTTAACAAGGCTGGAACATGAGTAGTAAATTATTCTATTAGAGGTTTGATCTGAAAATCTTGGTTTATAGAAATATATAAGTTAAAATATTTCGTTTAAAACAAAATGTATAGATAGGAAGAATTTTATCTTGGGTTGTAGAGCAAGATATATCCTAGGTTTATAGAAAATATATTAAGTGAGATGGTTGTTTGAATGAGAAAGGTGGAGAGATAAAGATCATATAATTAATTATATATAAATTAGATCTAAGGCTGAAATTCCACTCCTCTCACGTGACATACTGAATTTTAATTTTATATATATACTTCAAATACTAGTGTCATTAAGATACAGTTAAAAAGCAAGTTAATTAAAAAAAAATTAGAAACGACTTGTTATTATAAACGCATTTTTTTCCTACCAACTAAAACTTGTTGAAAGTTACAATAATTTATAGTTTAACATCTTGTTAAACAAGTCACACTCAATATTTTATAATATTCTCACTAGTAATAATATAAAAGGTTTGAAACTATATTCCGAAAAATAGAAAATGTATAGAACTGTATCGCATTGGAGTACATCTGGTCAGATATGATAATGAATGTTAGAAGCAATAGAAGAAGGATAAGACTATTAAAAATGTTAAAACGAATGTATATTCATTGATCATATAAAAAGCACATAATAAGTATATAACAAAAAATCTACATGTAACATGGATTGGGTAGGTCACAGGAAATTAATTAAAATAATTTGAATAGGTATATATATATATATATATATATATATATATATATATATATATATATATATATATATATTTTTTTTTCTTTTTAAATACACTTGAATTCAAAGAAGGACAATAATTAGTTATAATATTGTAAGAAAGAAGACAGAAACAAGTTGTTAGTATGAAATCGAGAAATATGATCGATAAACGAACGAAAGAAATTCAAAAAACAAAGCGATGATAACATTTTCGATGTCCAATTATAAAGAACGTAGGACGTAAAATCGAAAGGTAGAGTCAGAAGGATAGGAGTAATAGTCGAAGGTTTAACATGGAACAAACCAAGAAATCCGAAGTATATGAAGTTTAGGTTAGAATGAATCGATGACAGGTATGCAAAGTTCTCGATTAAGTCGAAATCGAAGGGAAGGCTCGTCTACTTGGATATCGAAACCCCGGCTAGACCTTGAAGGGAAATAGTCAAAACGCACGTATGGAAAGCAGTTTCTAAGTTATGGAAGAGTCGAAGATCGTGGGAACGTGGGAAACCGTAAAAGAGGAACTGCCTTATGCACGAAGAACGTGGTATCAGTCTTGTGAACTGCTCCTGGAAGGCTTGAAGAATGCCTTATAAATAGTGCAGAGGAAGAAGAGAGAAGGGAGCAGAAATTGGCAGAGAACAGGATCAGTAGTGAAAAGTCTACCGGAGAAACGACGAACACCATGAAGTTTCTGGCAATCTGGATTTCCTTGCTCACTGAGTACATTTACCGCTTTCTGTATTTTCCTTGGTAATTTACTGCAATTTAAATTCAGCAGTCTTATGTTTCTGTATTTTCGATTCCTTGTCCATCTCATTTCAATGAAGATTTGAGTTTATGCATTTAAGTTTCCATGTTATTTAATGTTCTGCAAATCTCGATTTCCTGTCACTTATTTTTCTTGCAAATTCGATTTCTTGTCATTTATATTCGCGCTGTTTTCGATTCCTTGCTATTTACAATTCAAGCAAATTTGGGGTTTTCGCACTT